GTCCTTCGCCTCGGTGGCTTCGCTGAAAATGCCTTTTATTGGCAGAGGTGCCAGGGTTTTGCTAAAATTTCAATGGTACAGCACCGATTTCAGTTGTTCCATAACAACTTTAATGGCTTCGTTACATAATTTGCTTAGTTAGACTACAGGCACAGAATCCCTATTAAAACAATACTTTGTATATATTTGTAGGTATGAAGTAATCAGGAAAAATTTTTCTTACTGTGATTCACAATGGCATTATGATGAACGAGAATTCATTTTCATTAACACAAGGAAAAGATTCATATCTCTTACCTTTTATTTCTGTCTTCTATCTGCAAGATATAGACCATGTCATCGGTAGCGTGAAGCTTGGAACTGCTGTCTCCCCATTTTAGCTTCAGGCTCTGAGGACCTGCTGCAGCACACTCTAACCGAGGAGGTAAGGGTGGTAACGGCCTGGTTTTTGCTTTAATAAACTGGCTAAATGGTCCAGCTCCAATTTCATTGACAGCCTGGATCCTGATCCTAAAACAAACAACAAAAAGGTAAATGTTAAATAAAGTGCTTTCACGAGGTTCTTGGTATAAAAAAGTCAAGAAACAAAACAGCTGTCTGGACCTGACTGCTCCGTCACTAACACAGTGCCCGCTCCCAGCTACCAGTGCTGTGCTTTGCTTTGGCAAAATGAAAGACTCTGTAAACATAACAAGTATGATCATCCTGTTTATATTGTAAGAGCTGCAGCGAAGATATCAAGAAATGCAGTAAGGCAGAGGGGGGAAGATTTGGGTAAGCAATCTCAGAACATGATGGCAGTCCCTTTAAGCACATGAACAAGGGACAGCAGCACAGACACAAGTGCAACCTGGAAAACATGAAGTATGTAATTATGAATAAATAAAATGCAGAAGTGTATTGTGGTTGTCTAACAAAGGTCATGGACCAATTTAGGTGAAATCATTAAGTGAAAGCATTTGTGTCACTGCCATGAAACCCATCTCCATGTTGATAAATATCTCTGAAGACCAAAGAACAGTATTATTTCAGTGTGTGCAGCGTCTCACAAAGCACACTATTCAAGTACATGAAACTCTGCTGGGGAGAGCTAACTGAGAAGGTTAAATCCACAAACCTTCTACATGTCCTACACAAACTGTGGAAATATTAACCATCAGTGAACTATCTAGTAGATCAAATAAAAGTTGGACGCAAGTCACTCTCACAAGATGCACAAAAGCTCTTGAGCCATTTGAATTGCATTGAGGACATTTAGAAGAAGAGAAAAGCAGACCACCTACCTAGTCATAGAAGTTTTAATTTGAAAATATTTTTAAGACTCAGACAGTTTTCTAAATTCTATTTCTTTCTTAAGACAATGACTCCTGGCTTCTGCTTTGTCACTCTCTCTTATCTGTCTGCACCTTAGTTTAATAATTTGCACAATAAGAATCTGCTTACAGGAATGAGTGAAGAGTAGTAGTCTTTTACTATGGCAACATCAACAATAGCATCATAACAAAAATGTGAAATACGCATTTCAAAAGAGCTTTGAGGACTGTGTAAATAGAAATATTGGTACAGATCAGCCAGAAAGGTTTCAAAAGTTTGTTAAATCAAAGTGAAAATAAGAGAAAACAGGATGGGTAAACTAATTAGTTTTTTTAGATAGTTCAGCCTAGTTTAGATAGCTGGACAGATGCCATTTACTTTGGAAATCCTGTGCGCAGCAGCCTAGTATTTTCTCATGGGAAAAGACTCTCTACAAGAAGTGTTGCTTCTCAAAACTATCAGCCACCAAGAAGCCAAAAGTCCCTGGGGAAGGTGGTAGGGGGGAGAAGGGAGAAGAGCAGAACATGGTATACCCCTACGACTGCCTGCTTCAGAGAAAGCAGAAGATAAATAGAACTGTCTTTAGTTGGCATAGCTACTTATTTTGATTGAAGTACATTAAGTGATGTAAGTTCATATAAACAACATATGAAAAATTACTTCGCTTTGAACAATAAGTTTTCAACTCTACCATTAGAAAAAGATTAGGTAGAGTTAAAGGGACAGGGGAAAACACTCCAAAGAACAATATTAAAAGAACAAAACACCCATATTTTCTGCAATTTCAAGAACAAAAAGGGTTAAATGTCTAATAAACATATTGCAAAATAACAGAGCCTTATCTACTGATTAGGCAGCTAAAGTAATTGTACACTGTAAGAATGCACTGTGTTTACACAGTCACGTGTAAATGTGTGGTTAAACCTTTGCTTATTGACCTAGCCATTAACAAGGTTAAAGTGTTGCTTGGCATGGAGCTGCATTTTCCTTTTAACCTTCCTTTTGGTTTCGGGAAATGCATCCTGACCACCTTACAACGCTATACAACGGCGATTTCATCTTCTTCCTCCCAGAGGGTGGATGGTATGAAGAAAGATCTAATGGGAGCCTCTTCTTCAACTGCTGCATAGAAGCATTTGACATAAAAAGAACAAAAGGCTTTTCAAGTATCTTAAGAAGTGTAATTAATATAGGCATTGATCTTATTTCATATTATGTTATGGGTTTGCTTCAGACTGAAGAGTCATTACATTAATATTTAATGGTCTTTCCAGTTTAAAAAAAAAAGTGAAAACTGTCTGAATTTTCACTGGATTCTGGCAAGTAATCCATTAGCATATGCACATAAAGAGTAACAGCTACATTACAAAATGCTACTACTTTTTTGTAGATTGATTACAGCAACACACTCTAGAGTACAGAGCCTTTTTTTTTTTGTTGTTTTATTTTGTATTATCCAAAGTCCCAGTAACAACAAAGTCTCTCCTGTCCTCAAGCATCGTAACTTTAACTCATTTCCAAATGGCAGCTACCGCACTTGAAAACAAGCAGCGATCAAAACTAATCTCGCTCAAATATCACATCACATTTCTTAAGCAGAAGCTGATAGATGTGCTTTTTAGATACGTGCATGAACACACATCTGCACTTACTTGTCTTCCCTTTGCCAGGTATTTGCACAAGGTAAAAATGTGTCTCTTCCTCTTCCCTCATGTGTTGTTGCTTTCATCTGCTGCATGGTGTTCTTGCTCCCACCTTCTGACACACAAAAATAGGCGCACTCCCTCCCCCCCCCTTCTGACTTTGGCGCATGGTAAGACTGACGGAAACTCTTAAGCCTTAAAATAGAGACAGGCATCTTTCCAGATGAATGATGATACCGGGAAAGCAAGAATTGATTTATTTGACTCTAACATGGCTGGATATGGCTACCCTTTTTCTGCTGAGTACACCACCATAAAACTCTCTGTAAATTGCCACTATCATCCTCAGGTCCTGAGCTTTGTCAGACATGCACAAACAACTAGTTGTGATTTTCTGTGCACATCGCAGTGTAACCCAGACCCAGCGCTGACCTCCCTCTGAACCACAGCAGCGTCTCCTCAGTGGATATTAGGCCTTGGAAATGTCCGCAGGGAAGGGGAGAAGGAAGAAGGAAAAAAAGAAAGGAGAGAAAGAAGGACCATCTGAAAGAGGAGGGAGAGCACATGGTGGTGGGAGAATACTTTGTACTGCAGCATCTTTGCTCCAGCTCAGGTGCTTTCTCATGTCCCTGCCCCAGCCTGCGACACTCTGAGCTCCTTCAGCTGGGTGGCGCAGCCACAGTGGGTAAGATAACTTCCACAATTAAGTGGAAACCAATTGCTGTTTACAGAACTGATACTGGGAAAAAAACCAATTCTTTATTTTCGTGTAAAAGTAGTATATAGACACGTAGAAATATTTGCAATAAAACCACTTTCTGAACTCCTTTCAACTTTTTCACTAATGGTTTCTAAGTTAAAATACCCCTAACACCACCTTGGAAAGGTGGTTTTAAAATCTGACAATCACAATTTGAAAGTAGGTTTTTTGAAAATGTAAAGACTGTATTTAGGGATAGTACCTAATTTTGCAAACCCTGGACCAGTAGTATTTGTATTCATTCTCACATTTTCCCACTGCATCTTTTAAACATTTAGGAAAAAATAAATCAGACTAGGCAAATTTAGAAACCATTAAAAGATCTTTAACAGACCATTCTATCTATAAGATTCTCGACCCAGGAAAATAAACACACTAAACAGGATGCTATTTTCAGATTGGTCACAAAATCCTTTGTATAGTATTCTGACAAACTGAAAAATCACTTTTGAATTAATCTTAGAGTCTGACATGAGAAGAGTTTGATTCGTTAGTTCCCATAAGTAGAATGCCACCAGTTGCAATACACACGCCTGTGGAAACCTGTGGGAGTTAAAATGCCATGGACTTCAAAAGGATGGAGAAGCAGCACGCTTCACCATCAGTAGCCCGAACGTAATGGATAGTAATCATACACAGCCCCCAGGACAAGCCAGCCCCACAGATCCCCACTCAGACTGCACTCTTCTGGGGCTGGAACAAGACTTAGTTTTACACTCTGAAGCATAAATTTTGTTTTATAACCCACTTAAGCATTGCAAACTTGAACATCCATGTGCGTTCTTCTCTCTTCATCTTGGAAGATCTTTTCCTCAATACAGTTTGGAAATTTAAAATGTCTAGAATTTTTATTCCTAAACCAAATTAACATTAAGTGTTGCTATTAAAATTTAATAAGGCTACTATGTATTTTTGTAAACTATGTAACTTCAGAAGAAAATAAGCGTTCTTAAAAATCGAAAGTTGTTTTGCAGTGAAGTATCTCAACAGCACAGCACAATTAACTATGGAAAGCATTGAGCGAAGCTTGGGCACAGAGTGTAACAGAAAATTGGTATTTTTGTTACTGTTGAATACTTATTTATTGCAGAATATTTATTAACTCACTTTTAGTTACATCAGTTCACAGAAAACCAGTCCAAATATTATTACCCTATAATCAGAGCTTCGTGCCTACGTCAATAAAACGGAAAGACTGCAGAACTCGCAGACATATTTCTGCAGCTGCTCACCAGCAACAATGTTTACATAGTGCTTTTGCGAGGCATCTGCTTTTTGCAACAGGAGTGCTAGTCTGTGTCTGACATTGGAGAAGTCCTCCTGAAATCAGTCCTACGCTGGCCGTTAGCAGCACCGCAGAAGCATGCCCCAGTTCCTCCTGCCAGGAATGTATTTTGGGATGCAAATCCTTCTTGTGGCATGCTGGCTGGATTTGCTACTAAGACACAAAAACCATCAAACTTGTCAGCTTTGAGCCCACCTCCGCAAAGAGCCTGGAGTTTGCTTGGTGTATACCCGAGTTGCTCATGTATGGCCATACCCATACAGAAGCTGGACGCAGCAGAGCAATGCCAGACCTAAGCTAACAAGTCCAACAGGGTGGACACGTGTAGACACACTGTTAGCATCACACTGCTATGCAAAACAACATTCCTTTCCAATTTTGGACTTGGTGGATTCATAATAACCAAGATTTGCTTTCAATTTCGGGTTCCCACAAACAAAAACACTGACAGTGAAATTCCAATGCAACTAAAACATATAAGTGCTTTGCCGATTTACTTCAAATTCTGCTGAAACTTTGGCAAGAGAGTTTCAGGGTCTCAAACCCAGTCGTATTTCGCTTGTTTAGTCTAGGAAAAACAATGCCTGGAAGAAAACATGTGCACTGCTTTTAAATACAACAGGGAATAAACACTTCAGAGAGAGAAGAGCTAGTTGAGTTAAAGTTGACATGAAAAGAAAAACCATTGGTGAGCAAATTTAGAGAATGAGATCAGTGATGTTCTGAAACACGCTTCTGATTGAAACAGGGAGGGCAAAAAAACCACCACCTTTTAGCATACAGCTTGATAAACATGGTTCTTACGGATACATTTATCAGGGCACAGATGTCCCCTGATGAAAGACAGGTGTCAAGATAGGCTTGAAAAAGAAGTATCAATGAAAGAGTTAACAATCGATAGGAAAAACACTTTCACACGTCTATTTTTATTAGCAGAAAAATACTTAAACTATAGAGGAGGTGCTTTTGCAACTCAACTGCAGTCACTTGTCTTCCCTGACGAGCATGAGATGCAAGATTCAGGGGTTTCTTTCTCTTGTTTTATTAAAGAAAAGAGCTTTCATATATTATTACTTCTGATTAGTCATCCACTGCTTTGTGTTCTTCAGAATTTTTTTTTTATAGGAACTTAGACTTACAACAATATTTAGAACAGTTGCAGTTAATGTTTGTGCTTTAGCCTTTTCATTTGGATCAGAGACAAGCAGACTCCCTGACTGAAAATATGTGATTTAATATGGTGCTTTTTACAAAATAATGAAATAACGCAAAAAAAAAAATATCCAGTATGATCTCAGTGTAACAACACTTTTCATGGCAGCAGGACGAAGAGCTTCACAGACAAGACTGCAGCATGATTATTAAGAAGAGTAATGTCCTGCCCATCCTTTCATTTCATATCTCCATTTCCAGGCTTTGAAGACAAAGACATTTCCCTAAAGGAAGCTGTAGACAACCAAGAACCACCTAAAAAAGAGACTCAAGAAGGAAGACTTCAGCGAAGAATTTTGACATCCAAGGAAGAAGAAGGAAGGGGGGGACGTTTGGAGTGATGGCGTTTGTCTTCCCAAGTAACTGTTACGCGTGATGGAGCGCTGCTTTCCTGGAGATGGCTGAACACCTGCCTGCCCATGGGAAGGAGTGAATGAATTCCTTGGTTTGCTTTGCTTGCACGCGCGGCTTTTGCTTTACTTATTAAACTGGCTTTATCTCACCCCATGAGCTTTCTCACTTTTACTCTTCTGATTTTCTCTCCCATCCCAGCAGGAGAGAATGAGCGAGCAGCTGTGTGGTGCTGAGTTGCCGGCTGGGGTTAAACCACGTCAGTTAGTTTTCAAGACCAATTTTCCCAGTCTGGAATGCTGTGACAGCACTTTGCTGGCACAAAAGAGAGGACAACACAAGGAGGGAAGAAGAGGCTTCCTTTGATAGCATGCTAGCTTAAATTGACCACAAAACTAGGATCTTAAATAAACACAGTAGAAGACAAGAAAAAGCTTATATACTTCATTACTGCCTTTGCCAAAAAGGATCACACAGTTACAAGCCACTGAAGAACTGGAGCCATGTAGTCACATTTCCTGGATTTATATGAGTGATCTGGAACGGAGGGGTTCTGAATCACCACATTCCTATTTCTCCTTCTTTTTTCAGATTGCCAGAGGGTCTATATATATATTTAATAAATCTACATCTATTATTTTTTATTACATGGTTTTAAAACCTAGATATTCTAGGCAAAGACCAGGAACCACTGTGCTAGGCACTGCAATCAACATATGTTCATAGCTTTAAATAACTTCTAGTATACATATTTGTATACTTGCTACAAGAAGTTCTTTTTTGGGTACATGATAAAATTTGAGAAATGAACTTTTCATTTAAACTCTACAAGACCTGTAGGTCTGTGACCTTGAATACAAAGAAGAAAAGAAAAATATTACAGAAGGTCTGTGCCATGTCTAATTTTACAGCTGTGCAATCAGATCTCAGTTTTTATTAGAACAATACTTAAGATAGAATTTCTCTTGTCACATCTTCTGCTGTTCATAGCCTGCGTGGAACTGTATTTTTTTTTTAATTAGCAATTAGGGAAAAAGCATATAAACCTGAACATTAAAATAATAACAAAATTTTGGCAATGTCACTTAGAAATTTAGACTCTGAAGCAATACGAAGAAATTGTTTTCAAATTCAGATTATCTTTTAATTAATCTCCATATGCCAGAAACAAAAAATAGCTGTAGCTATACAAATAAGAGTTAATTGCGTGCAAATTGCTATCCCCTCACAGGGATCAATACAGTTAATACTATAAACCCCTGGAGGAGTACTGCTAAGCATCTGAAAAAACATGAGATGTCGCATTGTAATTTTAGTTATTTCCCATTTTTTAAATTTATTTACCTACCAGCGTAACCTTACCTTAGCAGAGCAACTTAAAAAGAATCACTGAATCATAGAATAGTTTGGGCTGGAAGGGAGCTCTAAAGGTCATCTAGTCCTAACCCCCTGCCGTGGGCAGGGACATCTTCATCTAGATCAGGTTGCTCAGAGCCCCGTCCAACCTGACCTTGAATGTTTCCAGGGTTGGGGCATCCACCACCTCTCTGGGCAACCTGTGCCAGTGCTTCACCACCCTCAGCGTAAAAAATTTTTTCCTTACATCTAGTCTAAATCTACCCCCCTTTAGTTTAAAGCCATTCCCCCTTGTCCTGGCGCAACAGGCCCTGTTAAGTGTTTGCCACCATCTTTTTTATAAGCCCCCTTTAAGTACTGATAGGCTGCAAGAAGGTCTCCCCAAAGCCTTCTCTCCTCTAGGCTGAACAACCCCAACTCTCTCAGTCTTTCTTCACAGGAGAGGTGTTCCATCCTCCTGATCATTTTCATGGCCCTCCTCTGGACCCGCCCCAACAGGTCCGTGACTTTCTTATGCTGAGAAGAAGGAGAGGTCAGAAATAATGCAAGGAGAGGAGAAAGAAGAAGGGGGGGAGAAAGCAGTATTTGAACATGAACTACCGCAATTCATTCCATAAAGGAATTATTGCAGATTTCTATGCTCCCTAGGTTGGCTCTTTGCGTTGTTGGGGTTTTTTTTTGTTTGTTTGGGTTTTTTACTAACTCTACATGCTATAAACATTTCCTATGTAAAATTAAGCTGTGTGATCTCAATCCTGAGTGCTCTGTACCACATCAAAAAAACTGTACTCACCGGTATGAGGTTTCTGGAAGCAAATCATTGATAACGTAACTTGTAACATTTCCTACTGGAATGCTGATGTCACCCAGGTCAATGTTGTATGACATAATCTCAGCTCCGTTATTGCATGGTTCTTCCCAGTTCAGTACAAGGCACACAGAGGGTGAGAGCTGATAGGCATCCATGTGCTCATCCTCCAGCACGGAGAGAGTAGAGACTGCATCAGGCACAGATGCTGGCATTTTGCAGGTTACCAGCTCACTGTAGGGTCCAGCTCCTGCCTGGTTAATAGCCTGTGTGTTAAAAAAAAATATATATTTTTACAGGATAAATGTTCTCTTTCACATGTCTATCGAGTTCATAATAATGAACTGTGTGGCCTGGAAGAGTTGCATGGATTCTTCAGAGGACATGCACCGCTGGCTTATTCTCTAAAGGATGACTCATACCCTCTACCTATACTAGAGCAATTAATATCTTCCTTTGTTACTCAGGAGTATCTCTCAGATAAATTGGAGAATATTTCTCTTTTCCCTAACAGCTATTTAATCAAACTTAACAGTAACCTTTTTATCAGCAGCAAACTTTGTTTAGTAAGGGAAAATGTCACAGTCATGCTGTTAGTGACAGGTGACATCACATTGTTCAGCAAATTGGCTACCTGAAATTGTTGAGCCACCCTGTATAAAATCCTCATACTGCAGAGTGCAACATCAGATGCTTTATGCAAGCAGAGTACCCCTAGACATAAGGGGCATTTGGCTTGCTGAGAGCTACACTGGTTCCTAACTCAGACGATGGATAGCTAATTTCATGCTAAAAAAATTCTGATATAAGAATATAGGAACTCAGCATGGTGTTAAGCCTATGATTCAGATTTCCCCAGAAGTCACAAATCACTAGCAAACCACCACCAAAGCACACAGTTCAATATTTTCGACAAGAGAGGAGAGCAACCAATTATCAAGCTTCTCATCTTGGCTCATAGATCCAGGATCCCAGTGGAAACCAAGTTTCAAAATCTGGCCCACTTCTGCTCGCTGATTACAGAGGCTGTTGTCTTTGCAAGCTCAACATTGCACAATTGTACAGACCTGTTTTTTTATGGGTTGATCAGTCAGTGGCAAATGCTGCATATGTTGTGCTGGAATGGCCTAGGAAATGATTAACATTACCTCCTCAGGATTATTATAAACTCCTGTGCACACAATCACAGAACCATGCAGGCTGGAAGGGACCTTGGAACACACCTAGTCCAACCTGCTGCTCCAAGCAGGGTCAAAGCTGAATACAGACCAGGTTGCTCAGGCTTTTGTCCAGGCGGATCTTGAAAAATTCCAAGGATTGAGATTGCATAGCCCCTCTAGACCACTGTTACAATCCTTAATTGCCTGCATAGTGATAACTTTTTTCTTTATACCTCATCTGAATATCTCTATTTCAACCTCCGCCTGGAGTAAAACTGGACACGGTATGCCAGGTCCTCATGAATGGCATGTACCAGGCAACACCACCTTCCCTTGACCTGCTAGCTGGGTTCCTTCTGATACAGCCCAGCATGCTGCTATCCCAACAAGGTACGTGGAGAGCTTATGATAGCATATTATGGTACAGGCTGAGCTACAGGAGGTTCAGAAGATCCAGACATTCAAAAGCAGCTTTTGACATTGCCCAGTATCGCCCATCATCCACATTTCCTTTGCATTTGGAAAAGTGAGCCCAGAGTCTCCCACCAGATTACAATTAATTAGAAAACCTGGGTTTACAATGTTGCCAGTAGGACTATGACAGCAAGGAAAGGACACATCAAACAATTGTTTGATTTCTTATCTATGCGTAACTGTAGTGAATAAGTTATTTCTGCTATGCTTAATACAAACACAAAGCCATGTTCTGTTTTCCAGGAGGCGTTTTGTTCAACTGAAGAAAGAGATAATAAAGTTAGATTTGTCAGCCTTTAAAAAGCCCTTCAAAACAAATCCTGCTCCAGGGACACCTTCTATTTAGTGAAGCACTCCTAGAGCTGTTAAAAGTGAGCCTTGTTTTGTGGTCTGCCAATGATATTATTTGTCTTGCCTCTAAACCAGCGTTTGGCAATCTGTATCTTGCTCCAAGCAATTTATTTTTAGTGGTGCTTTTAACTGCTTTATTGGACAATCTCATCATAACTGATGGGAATTTCATTTGTCTTTGCTTCCTAGATACCTCCCCCCTGCAAAATGACGCAATATTTCCCTTTGCAGAAGCCACAATTGTTTTCAGGAATATTCATTACAGGAAAAAAGTTGAGCAACAGTAAAGACAAATTGTCTGCCCTGCAGTTACATATGCCTGATTCCTCAATTCTCTCTTTTTATTGAGTTACTGTAGATTGAGATAGCAATACTGTGTTTACTAGAAGGCAAAGTAAATGTGGTTTGGGGAATCTTTATTTTTAAAAAGTAAAAGATTTTTCAGTTAAAGCTGCTAACAAATAAGAAAAACAGCTATTATCATCTCCTTTTTCTTAAAAAAAAAAAAAAAGACTGAAATTTCTGAAACTATTTAACTTTCCTTCTTTGTTTGCTATACCTACTGTATTCTTTTTCTTGTAATTGTCTAAATGTTCCAGTGTATCTTATAACAAATTCTTCTCCATATAATACACAGATCAGATCTAGAGGATAAAGCCCTCTGGAAAGTAATGCATGGGTCATTAATGGACTTCAATAAAATGTCTTAGTGCTGTTATGCATTTCACTTAACTTCTGCCTATGGATTAAATTATATTGGCTGTGTTAAAAACTGGGTACATTTGTGCAACATTTATGTGGCAGGTAATTTAAAATGAACGCCCACTCAAAATCAAAGATGCTATACAGCTGGCTGTTTCCATTTTTAACATTAAAATCTCCTTGAGCTCCCTGCCACTCACTGCAGAATTGGTCTCAGGGTCTCCTCCCTGCCCAGTGGATGCTGAATGCTTTCCCTCCCGTGCAAAAAAGAGGCACTTTCTGGCTCACACTTCCAAGCCACTCACACACGCTCTTTCAATTCTCCTTCCCCAACAGTGCCAGTGCAAGGTATACGGCCAGCTATGACCAAGTCAGAAAATAAGTTGAGTGTAGAGGTGTGGGGCACTAGCTCCTTTGGCTGTTGGCCAGCTGCTCGAAAGCTACTTCGTAAAAAAAAAAAAAAAAAAATCAGAGTCCTGTTTAAAAAAAATTTAAGAAGGAAACACTCAACAGAAGCATGTTGTCCTCGATCGAAGAAATGACCCTGGGTGGTCCACACGTTGCCAGCTGTGTGGGTATGTGAACTTTTGGTTGGATTACTGGTGGTATTCTGTCTTCACACACAAATAAATCTTGTCGAGGAGCATCTTGGGCAAAAATATTTTTACTTCACTCCCACTTACTTTACTTTCCATTTATTTTTCAGTAGACATAAAGGAGAAAAAGTGCTGTATTTTTATTTTCATATATATATATAAAAGAAATATATTTTAACTGTTACTTTTTACTGAAAATAATAGGAGAGAAAGAGATCAAAGAAAAAGAAATCATATAGAGACTTTATATGAGATCCAATCTTACAAATCTAAGAGACAAAATGGTAAAGATGAGGACTCACTTTCTGGCAGCTACCACCTCATATATACATAGGAATCTACTCAGCAGGTTTGCTTTATTTGATAAATGAAACATGTTGGAGTTTATTATTTAAGCTAGGGGAATTTTCAACATCCACTTGGGAGGTAGATGTTATTTACATCTCATTACCAAGAAAAAAATTAATTTTTCTGGAAATTGTCTAAAACATTATCATTTTGTTTTAATATCTGAGGGCAAGGTGGCTGTTAAAAGCATTATTCACCGAAAGTAAACCACACGATACATGAGAGCAATTTTTGAGAGCTGAAAGTTATACCAACTCCCTTGTTTATCACTTTGAATTGTGTAGAATCTAAACTGTTCAGTTATAAAGCAGCAGTCTGCATTATTTAAAATAAACGTACATTCCTTCTGACTTACAGAGCACATAACTTCATAGTGGCTATTGATAAAAATAAAAACACAGTGGAAGGAAACTCTGTTTACTTCTTAGATTGCGATGCATGCAAAACCTCGTAACTTCCATACCTGTAGCCTACAGCAGTAATGCGCCGCCGCTGACAATTCACTTATTTCAAAACAGGTATCTGTGCCACTATATGCAAGTTGTAGAGATTCCCCATCTTCTCCCCACTCTAATCTGTATTCAGAGATGTCAGCGCCAGAACATTCAGGACTCTGCAACACAAATATTTATGTGATTCAATTCACAAATGAGCACTTCAGATCTCTGTGTTTCACTGGGTAAGGAATAAAGTACATGGAAAAAAACCCCAACCCTTATTTTCAAATTAATACACCGTTACTGCTGCAAATGGAAATGCGCTGAATTAGCGTTCCCTAATAGGTTGCTGAAACAGGCCAATTCTGCACAAAAATTACCTGATAGAAATTCAGAGAAATGAGAAAGTGTATGCAGCTACTTTGCTTTTCATCAGGACACTCAGGAATAAATTGTCTCTTCACTGGCTTGGCAGAAGCACAACCATGGAGAACACAAAAAAGCATCAATCTAGCCTAGTCTAGTCGAGTGATCAAAACACAGCTCTAGAAGATCTAGCCTTCAAGCCTGAAGTAGTTACTCACGTTACACTCCTCAACAAGCGAGGAGCTCGTCTGAGGTTTTCAGTGAAAGTCACCCATCAAGCTAATGGTCCCAGTATGGGACACAGGAGTGTGGACCTGGGTACGTTAACATCCATAAAAAGACTTCTATGGGATCCAGTAATCCCTTTATCATCCTTAAGTCTAGAGTAACACAGAATAAATACCACGATTTGCTGGAAATAAGCTAGTGCAGGCATAACGGCATGGTTCCCAAACCAAAATATTTTTACCTGAACTACCTCAAGCTATACTGTGTGGACTGAAGCGGCTCGGTGAATTGCTGCTCTACGTGCCGAAGTGTGGTCTAGGATATAGCAAAGACTTTGTGATTACGGCATGCAAGGTCTAATTTCCAGTAAAAGGATCCAGAGCATCTCTGCGCGCCACAGTGGCCACCCTGCACATGCACATGGGCTTCTCTAGCTCTGCCTCTGAGCATTCAGCTAGTTTAGTAGGAGCACTCAGAACTGCTAAGCCAGTGTTTTAAAACAATGTGTGAAAAAGGCATAGTAGGCACCACGGTGTGCTCTCTAGCCAGACAAGAAAACTCCACAGTCCTTTGCTGTTTTTCCTTCATATTCATATCAGCCAAAAAAGATAAGACTCTTTAAGAAAAGATAACCATTGCAAACCACAGTACTTCTTCCACAGCTTCATTTTTAGCTAGAATAAACAAATATATCCAGCATATAAATACAGAGGCTACCAGAAACACTGCTGCATTCGCTCATCGTTGGGGAGAGCAAATGCCTGTCCATACACTCATTTAAAAGGTAACATTGAAAAGCTTCAGTGTGACTTCTAGCTTAGCGTCACAAAATGTTTCAAGAAATATTAACAAATACCCCCAAACCCCACCAAATGCACCTGTTTCATTATAAGATTAAACTCAGATTACTTTTATATCTAGATATGTTATTAGCACAGCACAATCAATTTCTTTGAGCATCTCGTGAACATCAATAACGTCTTTCTCAACAAGGGCATACTTTTGTGGAGGGACCTGACACATGCAGGGCTGGAATGGCTGCTAGGTTTTCAAAGAAAGTCGGTGGCAGAATTACAGCCCCACTGCTCCATATCACAACTTTATTTATGACAACATCCTGTCCTTTCTGCCTTAATTACATAACAATTCTTTTTTTAATGACACCAATCAACCCTTCAGCATTTCAGCTAAGACTTATTTTAAGAGTCCAGTGTCTAAGATCCTGGAGAATGGAGAAGAAATGCACACAAAGTAAAATAAAAGTAAATATTTGGGAAAGAGACAAACAATTTTTGAGGAAAAAACCTACATCATAAGCATTTGTGCAGAATTAATTTCATATCAGAGACTCCAGCTTCAGCCAAAATCAAATATTTGCCTTCACAATTCCACCCCAGGACACTCTGACACGCTAAAAGCCTGCAAAGAGCACTTCTACCCGACCAGCGCTCTATCATCAGACGCCAGCGTAGGAGGTCTCGCGTCTGAACCCTGGTTCGGATGACTCATGATCAACTTCATGCAATTCTTTAAAGAGAAAAGTAGAGATGATGATTTTCTACATAGAAGAGCTTCTGCATACAGTTTTCTTGCACAAAAAAAAAGGTTCCAAACCAGTGGACAGCTCTCAAGCTAGCTTTCAAGTTTTGCAGTGACCATATTAGTTTGGATAAGCAAGATGGAAATTAAACAATCAGGGCACATGACTTACCTCCCAGCTTACAAGTACACGTGTGTCAGACAGAAAGGAGAGGGAAGGTGCTCTGCACTGGCCAGGCGGTCCTGCTGCCGTGGTGACTTCTGTAGGTTCCGAATATGGCCCGTACTAGAGGGGAACAAGGTGTCTGTACGTTAATATATAGACATACACCCATCTCACATTCCTCAAAGGCTTTTCAAGAACAGCACACAAACTTTTTCGATGCAGTAAACCTTCTCAAAGATAGACCGGGCTTCCAACACTCGGCATCAAATATCAGAGTTCAGTACAAGACCACGTAAATTATTGCAAAGTTAAAATGTGAGGTAAGCTCAGGTACGAGCAGACAGCACGTACACCCTCCAGTGTGGTGGTGAGTGCCTGTGAAAGCATAAGCCACCTCCAATTTACCCAAGAGTGAGAATGTGCACTCAGCAACAGAGTAACTGAGGAACAGTTTGTGTCCCTCTACCTTACCTTAAAGTAATGTGTTCACGTCTGTGCCGTAGCCTGGCTTAACTGGCTTCTTGTGGATATAAGGAGGAGCACAGCAACAGTAAAGCACATACTGGAGTCCAAATCCATCTTCTTTTATATAAAATGTCTGCCACGTTAATTATAAAAGGATAGCATGTGATGGAGCCCAGCCTGGGTGTCTAACGGCAGCGTTCAACATGCAGGGGCATGTTGCACACACACTGTGTATGGCTTAGCTCCACAGGCAGCTAAGTCAGCTGCTCAAACAACTTTTGAGCCCTTAGCAGGAGAATAATTTAAATGCATATTAGCAAAAGAAAAGGCAAATTTCAAGAGTCTAAAAAACTGGCTTCAGCCAACAGTGCGAAGACAGGAGAGAGAGAACGGAGGAAATAGCCTTTCTGAGGCCACTTGAGTGGGATAATGAAGTTTGTTCAGTACATCCCCAAGCTAATTAGAAATCATTCTCCAGAACAAAAGAACTTTGCTGGAAGCAATTAGAGGAAAAACACTGATACCTACTTATTTGGGAATGCTATACTAGCAAGTATGAAAAAAAAATGAGCCACTACAAAGGCTGAACAACACTGAAATTACGAACCCCAGAAAACCTCTCAACAGACACGTGTCAGTATCTGTGCTATGGAGAAAGGCTAACACTGATCGCTTTGTTTGAATTACAAAGAATGCACACTTCCAAAAAATCTCATTTATTGCCTTCTGCTGTTTTCTTTACCTAATAGGAGGAAGAAAGGTGTTTGCTTCTGGTAAAGAACACCACCCCCACCCCCACCCATTTTGCATCTGGTAAACCCCAACCAATCCAAAACCAGCCCCCTCATTTAACAAAAGAGGGGACTAGAAATGCTTTGCAACTTTAAAAACTGTTTTTCCAAAAAAAAAAAAAAAGAAAGGGGGGGGGGGGGAAGTCAAGGTATCGTACATCCAAAAGGAGGAAAAAAAAAAGTCCTGGCTTTTGTATTCACTCAATTGTTTTCATTCCAGCAAACAAATCCAATCTCTCCATGTGTATTTAATTCATTTTTCACAAAAATAAAATAGTGGATATTTTTAAGACAGAACAGTTTAAGAGTCTTGCATATTTTTCTAATACCTAAGTTAAGTTTTAGCAGAACTTCTCCCTGTAAGTGGATAACTTCAAATCTTTATGTTATGTTCATCATCAAGATTTCCTGGGAACAAACACATCAATATACATGTACTGTTGCTGGGACTGCCTTTATAAAAAAAAAAAGTTGGAAAGATGCTCTCACAAAGGCAAGCAGAACCAACCCAAACCTCATTGAATCAACAAGATCTTGCAACAGATCTCCGTGGACATCGGGTAGAATTTATGATGTATTTGGAAAGGCACATCTTCCAAGGAAATCATATAACAAAAAAATCATCAAATCTATAAAGCATGTATGTTTTTCAAATTAAAATGAAAAAATCATTAAGAATGCAAGCTTTCCTCAAAATATATCAATACCTGAGTGAAATTTCAGTAATTGTTTTTACACAGTTAAGATTTAAAAGAAAAAAAAAAAGGAATGCAGTGGAAGGGGAATAAACAGATTCTTCCTTGTAAGCAGATATGACTGCAGGGATTTTGCACGTTTTGGTCCAGCTGATTTTGACCAGTCAAATCATATTAGTACCTGAAATCTCCTTTTAAAGGACTAGCAGATTCAAAACTGCAGCTCTTCCTCAAAAGTTCCTTTAAGCATTTCTCACTTTATTTTCTTTTGCCCATCTCCCCTTCACCTTTCTGATCACCAGTTCAATCACTTTCCAGAACCACCCATCTCAGGCATAGTAACACCTCCAGTGGGAAAAAGCCAAAGCACGCTCCGGCACGCTGCACGTACCCCACCATCATTCAGAGCTCTCACTCTGAACCGATATGTTGCTCCAGGAAGAAGGTTGCTGACGGTGCACTCCAGATCAGGCCCATGATACACTTCAGAAACAACTTCTTCGGGTTCTGTCATTTCTACACTGTACTCTGAAACGGGACAGCCACTTTCTGACAGAGGGACATCTAGAAAAAAATCATAGAATTCATTAATAACATAAGGACATATGCCAGGAAGATTAATTTTTTACTTCCCATACCACAGAAATACACACACACACACACAAAGTCAACAATGATTTTCCTCTTCGATAGATGCCTTACCTGCAGTATCTCATCCATGTACATGATCAAAATTTTTAAAGCAAATGAATAAAATTACTCTTAGCCTTAAACATTCGCCAGGTCAGATCATCACATGCAAGAGCAGCAACCCCCCCAAGGCAATGATCTGTCACCCTGGGAAGCTGTGTTTGATGCCAGGAGGTGCCCAGCTAATTTTTAAAGCAGAACACAGTAGCTACCATCCTCTTCTGAGGATGCAAAAAAGCTACTCTGCTTCTTTCCCCCAATATCAAAGGTGGTGGTGTGTGCAAAAAAAATTGGTTGGTGAGGCAGGTGAAAAGTTATAGAAAGCTGCACGAAGAATGGGACTAGCGCTGAATACACCCTTTCTGGGACAGAGAGAAATTAGGAGGCACATAGTGGCTGTCTGACCCAATCTTGGCTGTTGGCTATGGCTGGACACAGGCTGAGGTGGGTCATGTACACTCCAAAACGACTACTTACACACGGGATTTCTGGCAAAGCCTTATTAACGCCCAAGAAAAGTATGAACAACTGCCATCCTCGAACTTTATTAGTCACACTGCTAACATGAGATTCTAAGTATCTGTACAATGATCTAAACCCTGCGCTTCACTTGGAATAACAGGTTTTTGGGAAATGGAGTTTGTTTTCTGTGCTTGTATCTGTTCTGTTGTGGGCACCTTTTTTGCCATGAAAACAACATATCTGATAATATTTGCATGTTATATTACAAGCCAGTACCACAGAATCAACCTGCCTGGGGTTCTGAAAAGCAGTGCTCCACCATAAGGGGTACGGTCTTCCAGGAAACAACATGGTATCTTGGATGCACAGGTGAATTTTTATACTGGTGTTGAGATATATTTGTCAGTTAGAAATGGTACTGCTCTAGAATTTAGCTTAACGAACGACACCACAAAGACTCCTGGATGCTGCAAGATTATCACAGTAAAGCAAAAAATCTGTTGGATACTGGCATGTACCTTGTATTCTGAAAAATGTGCATTTTTTGACAGTTTAGTGTCATGTCCATGGTCCAAGTCCTTTACAAAATTACACGTGTCCAATGGATTGTGTGTGTTATACTGTGGATCAGGGTTTAAATGCCACCCAAAATCCTCAATATGTTCTAACTCAAATTTCTGAGAGAAGTCCTATATTTGAAGTAGCAAAATGCTTCTGCTAAGTCAATATTGCAAAGGAATAAAAAAGATCTTGAATCACATGGTATTTTTGCAATAGAAGGACAGATATTCTAATATAGCTGATACTTTATCATCCTAACATAGAGACAGGTCCTAACTAAAACAAAAATGGGAGCACAGTATCAGGCCTAAAGGACAGCTGGAGGACAGCTAAGTTCAGAAAACCAATATAGAGCCACAGCAGTCGATGAGAAGTTGCACTTCGGACTTGCACAGACTTCACTGGACTTTGCTTTGTATTTCCAAGTGAACAGAATACACTGCAACTTTTCACAAGGTCTAGCAACAGAAATAAAAGCTAAGGTAAGTTCAGCAACTAACCATCAAGATCAAAGCTATTCCACAGTGAGATGCTCTAACAGCTTACCCCATTGTAACTGTACTTCTTTGTGCTTCGGCTTCCCCAAAACTCTTGGTGGCCGGCAGTGACCTGGTGCAACACTTAGCGTACGGACAGGTAAACTTTCAGAACACTGGAAGAGAACAGGAGCTGAAGTTAGCTCTCCGGTACAATTACTGCCTACAAAGTTAGGCATGATTAGAAAGTGGCATAAGGAATTGTTTTGTACAACAACCACTTAATAGAAATTTATATAAACAATAAAGGATAGGAGATGCTATCAAGCATGTTACTTACAAATGCAATTAATAGAGTTCTTTCATTAGCATACTCAAAACTGTAGCACAGGAAACTTTGATGGCTAATGTTGTGGGGTTCTTTATTTTAATTTTCCTTGTTTTTAAAAGAATATCAAGGCCTAAAGTACTCAATTATTGGGGAAAAAAATCAAAGCAGGAGGAATATAAGTGTAGGTACTGAAATGATTTTAAACCAAAGAATGGAGTGACAGGAATCAGTGGCTGGAAAATGGAACCCCAAAATTTAAAGAACAATTCAGCCACATGAAAGGTAATTAATTGCTACAACAAACTACCCCTACTGCATCTCCACTCACCACCTTTGGTCAGTACAGGCTCATGTACATGAGAGTCTGTGGTCTTTCTCAAGCAAGTGGCCATATCAGACAAACACGATGGTCTTTCCTAGTGTAAGTATAAACACCTGCAGATTGGTTTTGAGGAAACCAGATCTCACTAAATTGCAATTTGCCTGAAAAAACCCATCAGGTACACATAGAAGTCTTCTAAAATTCAGCAACTTGCAACATAAGATTAACTGCAATCAGTGTAGCTTCACTGTGCTACAGGAAAAATATTCACCTTCTTTTTAAAGCAGAAATCTTTTTACCAAAAATAGCAGATAAATCTCTGAGAAATATAAAACCAATAGCCCTTATTGTTAAATAATACTTACCTGACTGTGTCCACCAGTGCTGATACAGCATGCCCGGAGTTTGTACAAAGTGCCTGGTTTCAAGTGAGTACAGGTATATTCTGTAGCCGATCCACTATATGCCACTTCCCATTGATTTGCTAAAAAATGAGATATATCCAAGTTTAGAGAAGTATAATGCAAGAAGTTTATTAGTGTCTAGGAGGAAAGAAAATCCTTTATGTGGTCTTCCACAAATGAAATATTTCAGGAAAGTCATTAGTAGTAATATTACTATGAATATTATTCCCACTTAAAGACATACATATACATAGACACATATACAAATATATCTATACTTACAAATATAAATATTTCTAAAATATATTAAAAATAGCAAATCAAACAGTAACAAATCAAACAGTTCAGCCCTATAACCTATAAATTCCACCAGTTTTAGAGAAAAAGAGCATATTTTAAAAAGAAACACAACAAAAACTCCCCCAAACCCAACCCAAACTCTCCCAGGAACCCTGCAAGTTTTAAGGCCGCAAGTATGTAACTCAGTTTCAATTGTATCTGCAGCATTAGTACATTAGTGATAATAACAATAATAGCCCAAAGGGTCAGTAATTCTTTATAGTAGCCATAATGGATTGAAATGGAGAAGACTTGTTTCAAGTTTACCTTCCGGACTTCCTTGAGAAATCTCTAATAGATACTTCAGGATTTCCGAACCACCATTATCCTGTGGAGGATCTGAAAAAATAAGGCAAGCTGTTAGTAAATCAAGATTAGGAGTGAAATCTAACAAAAAAGATTACAGAACTTGTTTCTGATTCTGCTCCTTCTCTTCTACAAACTCCCCCACACTAACTACACCAAGGAATTTATAGCAGAAGTGGGTAGCAGACGTTAGTTTTCAGCATGAGTCAGAGTAAGGTGGCTGGAAAACGATGCTACGAACAAAATGTACGGAAAAAGCAGTGAAAGAGATGCAGCATGGACGCTTGCCCCATCGATAAAGGAAGCAGCTGGAATGATGCTGCAATGGGACATGAAATAGAAGGTGAAAAGCCTGAAGATGCTCTTGAGTGCAAGTTAATCAATAAAAACAAGCAACATTTTTGATTCTGAAAACATGAGAGCCTCTAAACATCTTTTAAAGTATTAAAAAAATTAAGTTGTCAAGCTCTCCTAACACATTCAACTTTGGACTGAGAAGCAGCATGAAAAACCTAAGTTTAATACATATTTACATAGTTTTATTTGAATTTATTATGGCCAAAAAAAGCTCTACTATGACAAACTGAACTGGCTTACCCCACTTCACACTAAAGCCGTGAGAAGTTATTGGCCCCTTAATAACGGGTCTGGTTGGAGGTCCTGGCCTGTCTGGGCTTGTTGTACAGACCAACACTTCGCTGGGAGAACTCTTTCCTTCCACGTTAGAAGCAAACAGCTGAAATAAAACCACAACAAGTTTACCATTGTTTACGGTAACTGCTTTTCTGGGAGTTGTGCATGAGACTGCTTTTAGTAATTGCACAAATATCATTAAACTGGAAAGTATGTCACACCCCAACAAAGTGTGTCGGATTCCAATAACAGATATTAGATTGTCACGTTGTTTCTTTACAAACCACATTGATTTTTCCCTTCCCTCCACTAGCAATAGATCATGACATGTTTAAGATAAGAGCACTGCTGTTTTTCCCTTTAAAAAAAAGTCACATGGCAACTTGCAGTTATTTACTCATAAAAGATGAAAACGATGACAATAGCTATGCTATTTTTGTTTTGGAGATATTTCAAACTGCTATTTAAAACAAATTAATTCAGAGTATCAGTAATCACACAATTAAAAGCTTAAGTAGCATGACACGCAAACAAGAAACGCGTAGTCTACAGCCACTGAAACGAGCAGGATGCGCACAAAGAAAACTTTCTCAGCCAAATCCTTCATCTCTACTCAAGAACACCTTCTGCTGACTTAAGGGAGAAGGTTGCTAAGCTAAGAAAAGACATGAGGACCTGGCCAGGAGACTGAGCAGATCAGGATCGTACAAGAAACCCCAAATGGTCCAATGTTTTGTGGCTGCTGAGAGCTATATTAGCTCATGCTAGTCTCTGGGACAGAGATCTGCTGCCAAGAAAGTGAGTAATAAAATATGTATTATAATTGCTAATTGTAAATATAAGCTAGCAGGAACCTTTCCACTTGGGAAGCTCTGTTATTCTCAGGAGTAGTCATTTGTATCATCTCTAACACAGGCATCTGAGGAAAATAATTTGCAATTTTTAAGACCGAAAAAGTAATTGAGGTTCTCTAGCCCCTATGCTAGTTTTAAACAAGTCATTAAAGCCACTATCAACTCCTGTGTATCATCTTTTGGTTCTTTTCTGACTGTTCTCCAATTTAAGACATCTTGCTATGAACACCAGATACACGAGCTAGACAAATATCCCAGTAACAGCTGTAGGGAATCAGTGTGAGCTACAAATGTAATGCAACATTTATCCATTTCCCCTATGTATGCAGCTAAAGATTGCACTAGCCTGGCAAGAACTGAAAATTCATATTGAATTGATTGTTCAAGCAGGATCTTCAACACTTTTTCAGAGCAACAGCCTCCCCAACCTAGAGTCCTCCACCCTCTTAGTAGGAATAAAAATAAAAATTTGTTTGTTTCCAGGTCACTGATAAAATTATGAAATAGTATACACAGCACCGCTTTCTGTGGAACCTCACTAGAAACAGTCATTGGTGATTCCCTTCCATGCCGACACGTCAAACACTTCAGAGAATTAAATTTCTGCACCTTGTTGTGTTGTGTTTGGTATCATTTGCCCTTCTGTGCTAAACCCTCACTCAGTACTGAACAAATGCCTTTACAAGGGTGTATCACACTACTATTATCACTTTAATTAACCAACCTTTATTTCATCAAAAATGTTAGCAGGATGCCTCCTCTGTAAGCACACATTGTCTGGCATGAATTAAATTTCCCCCTTAATTCTTTATTATTAAGGGAGTTCCCCAAAGAACCATATTTTGCCCAGGTTCAGACAAGCCTAGAACTTGCCAGATAGCCCCCATCGTGAATTTTACAACACTGCTGTGATCCTAGGGTGTCTGTGTTTGGTTTTGTTTGTTTGTTTTGTTTTATAGTTTTGGGGATCCCTTCCCAAGTTCCGTAGCTAATTAATGCTGGTCTGCATGCAACAAGGGAACGTCTCAGTGCTGAGATCAGAGTCGTGCTTGTAGCTAGTGACACGAGGCTACAAGTTTGCTCTGATATCAACCCAATTTTGTAAAATTCATGTTTAATTTGAAAGCAGGGCTGCAGAGAAGCACTAACCGTCCTCTTCCCTCAGACAGCCACAGCAGCTTTTACAGTGCTAAACTAAAAGGCATCATCTCTGAGCAACACCGCAAAAACTTTCCGACTCTTTGGGTAGTTCTTCATGCAACTTCACAAGGTCTTCTGTCCCACAAAGCAATATATGCAAAGTTGTTTTTAAGGATTTAAATGAGTCTTTGGGTAAAGGTTTTTTTTGTTGCTCCTGAATATACTAAGACCTACAAGAAGCCAAATGTTTCTGAATCAATACAAACCTATGCCATCCTTCTCTCCCTGCACTGTTTACAAATGACACAAGCCACTTCCAGACACCGTTTCTGTTTGGCAACGTGGGAGCACGGCGGACGCTGGCTTTAGAGACAGCTCCTCGCCATCTCCGGAGGGACGGCAGCGCTCGGGATGGTGTGGCCGAACGCCATCTTGTGGAGCTGCGCTCGGCTCCCGGCTTCGCAGCCGCCTCCATGGCAGACAGCCCTGCCATGGGGACAGACAGCCGCACCGCAGCCCGTCTGGTAAAAACCACACCGTCTTCTCCTCGATAGCAGCACCCGGCACTTGTGTTGTGCTTGATGGCTTCAGTAACAGCGAGGCAGATGACTGAATTTTGTGTTTGCAAAAAGACTTCAGAGCATCTCTCCTGGGGGGTCTGTATTTAGGAGCACCCACAGAGCAGGAGATACCAACACTTGCTAAAAGACCAGCTCCAAAACCAGCCACATGTACGTATGAGACGGAAAAGCTTGAATTTCTGCATGTCAGGGGAAAACAGGCCCCTGAGCTGGGGAAGGAAGCTGTGCTTGCTGGGCTCTTTACAGTGTTTTCTCCATTGTGTAGAAGTGAGATTGGTTTTGTGACCACGGATCAGGTTTTTGGGGAGCCATGCAGCTGACTGCAACAACTACCTCAGGCCCTGAGCCACACTTCTACAAGATCATACCTGACAGTACACAGTACCAAGAACCATGCCTGTTTCAAAAAGGCTGAGCAATGAGCATTTTCTGTAGTAAAAGTAAAAATATAAATTTGGTTTAATCTATTAGGTCTTAGTGTAAGATAAATTTGTATTTGATAGCTCAATTTTGCAGGTAGTACACTAAAGGGTTCCTACAGTGCCTGGAAAAAAACCCAACAGAGAAAATACTATGCAATGACAAGAGGAAAAAGATTTTACCCTGAATTTATACTGCGTGCTTCTTCTGAGATTCTTCACAGTACAGGCTTGCTCCTCTCCAGTGTACTTTGGGTGAAACACACTATCCTAGAAAAAAAAAAACCACACACACAAACAAATTCCCGTAACTGAGGAGTCTGAGGAAGTGCTCTCTGTATTATAGTCTGTAGCTAGAACACATTATAGCAAAGGAGCTTTATGGTCAAGTGTTTTTTGTTGTTGTTATTATTATTATTACTACTACTTTTAAGCTGCAAGGCCACAATAATTTTCCTTCTAGAAGGATGGTGCAACTGACTTGAATAATATAATTTTCTTGTAAAATAAGCACAAAAACAATCATGACAGTTTAACACGTTACAGAAACAGAAGTGACAGATGACAGAACGCAAGCACACCACACAGCGGTGAGAAGGACATGGCAGACTGAACTGGTTAAGGACAAGCTGCCCTATACCTTACAGACTCCTGTGAAGCTTTGTAAAGTAATCATGGATGACAGTACAGATTTTTAGCTAAGGATTCATAATTCTGCTGTGGAGCAGAACAAATCACACAGCTTCGTCCTGCCAAGTACCCAGTACTCCTAAAAGACCCTCCAAAGCAGCAATCCACAACCTTCTCAGGGATCTTGAATTAATAAATGAAAACTCAATCTAAGTGACGCAGTGTACTTTATAGTAACACGGTACTTACATTATCTTCTTCCTGAATTTCCAGGGTGTAGGAAATCACTTCCTCTGGTGTACATCCTTCTACTTTATTCCACTGCAATGCGATCCACGTAACACCAGCTCGAACAAGCCTTGGTGCAGAAGGGGTCTGAGGAATATTACCTGCAGTGTAGCATACCACCTCCTGGCTGTACCCACTGCACAGAGACAGAGAAGGAGAGAGAGGAATATTAAAAAAACAAAACAAAACTAAACTAAAAAAACCCAAACCTCAGTGTATTTAGAGAAATATGTCACATTTTCAAAAAATCTAGACAATATTAAAATTGCCCAGGCAGAAAAGATGAGCAACCAGTTAGGAAACGCCAGAACTAAGAATAGAAAAAAATGCAGGATTATATGTGTTCTCATAGTAATTTTGACAGCTCTCATCACAATAATAATGGAAAAAATAATATTTGATTGCCTAAATGAATTAACTGTGAAACAGAGGAAAATTTCATTTAACAAAGGGGAACTAAAACATAGGAAATAAAGCCCCAAGTGTTCAGCTGTTAGATGTTGAACTTGAGATGCAGTTTCCACCTTATACAAATGCGGAATACAACTTCTATTTAAGCTACACTTCTGAAAGCCGAGTGCTTCAGCAAATCTAGTCCCACTGTTTCAGACACGGCCCTCCAAAGCAAGCAGGGGAAATTTATCTAGTCATGACCATGCATGCTCAGCATCACATAGGAGCTGTCTGGTGCAGGCACAGATAGCTTCCAACCCTCCAGGCTGGCTCTACTCCTTTCCGACTTTCACTGCCCAAACTTCTTTGCATTTTAAGCTGAGCATAAAGTTGCTCTTTTGCACAGCTCAGGTTGCAAACAGAGAGAACATCTGCGGCAGACGAGACGCGTGCTCCCATCTTGTCTAAATCCTAGCACACAAGGCCTTGAAACATAATAGGCAGTTGTGTCAAGCAAGTATAGGAAGAGTTCTCTTCAGACTCCATGCAGAATATATTATGTACAATGACAATTTGAGAACAAAGTTTGAAATGGACAGATTTTGGTGAATTTTCAGGAGGACAGCATCACAACTTTCAACTGAAGGCAACATTCTTGCCATTTTCAAATCTGTTTCCAAAGTACAAACGTATTTTGTTCCTTAAAGTCATCGCATGAATTTAATACATAGAAAAAGCCACATGTCCTTTTTCTGAGTCTTCTTTCTCAAAAATAACATGTTTGTTGAAATATTCTTATAGTTTAAAAAAATCCACCTATAACTAACACCCGAACAAGACAAAAATCATCTTAAATGATAAGTCCACAAGCATTACAACTAACCAAAACCATCTCACGACACGAAGTGTTAGATGACATTATCATGTCATAACTTTGAGTGCTCTCTATAAAAATGAGCCATGTGCTGTTGGTGCTTATCTCGTAGATTAACACAGAGCAGCAGCTGACCATAAATACAGATCTTAGTTCACTCCCTCCTCAATAGCCTGAGGGAAAAAAAGAGAGAGAAGAACAAAAAAGAAAAAGGGGGGGTGGGGTGGTGATGCATGCCCTAAGATATTTTAAAAATCTGGAATCTGGCAAAGAAAAGAGATGCCAAAACTGGGAACTTTGCACAAAACTGGCAGTCCGCTTCCAGTTACACTCAGCAGCTCCAGCTCAAGCCTCTCTCTCTCGCTCTCCAGATCAAGTATTATTTCAATAGGGAGGGAAGTAATCTTGCAAGAAGTTGGCAAAAGGGACTCCGTGCACACATGAACAGTCCCAGTGCACCTCAGAGGTAAAACACAGGAACATGAATAAAGAAACTTTTTAAAGCTATATATTACGAAGAGGTTTGTGTTTTGGAAGAAAGAACAATACAGGAATCTCCCTCAGCAAAACACATTGTTATATACCACTAGTGTTTCTTTTTCTGTTCTTGTAATAATGATTAGATCCTGTTTAGCTAAGAAGGACAATAAAGGAGTATACATAGAGCACTGGATGTTTAGCTTCTTCACAGCTAAACTTTTCCTGGCCTACTTTCCTTCTGTGAGTACAGGAGCGCACAGCCCCTGCAGCACGATGTCTCTTTGGGCACACTCTGGTCCTCAGCTGCGTAACATTTTAGCCCAGTGCTCCCTAGCAGCTCCCGGAGGATTGCAGTAAGTCTGATTTCTCACCATCTTCATTTGAGCGCATCTGTTCATGTGCAAAGAAAAGCAGAACCTGAAACCCATCTTGCAGGACCCTTGGGTATGCCTGTCCTCTCTCGGTCCTGGCTCTCTCACCCTTTTTTCCCACCCCATCAGCCAGCCCTGCCAGTCCTGCGGAAGAAGGAAGGGACTATACTGCTGAAAAAAGACAGAAGGGCTTTGCTTCAAACCAGAAAAATAAATATATCAAGATTCCTTTCAAAATCTGTAACTCAACTTCCTCTTGCTTGTTTTTCTTGGTTCACAGAGGTCCGTAGTGGGAATTTTACATAACAGATGTATTCTGTTTGTATGAGGAACAGACCACAAAACACCATTTAACACCTCAAAAGGAGCCTATCTTCTTAGGCTAACCTCATCATGCTGAAGGTACGCGGCAATTCCCTGGGAGGTGAATGATACCGCCAGGGAAGGTGCGACTTACTCTAAAGCATTAATAATAGAACAAATGTCAGATATTTAACTCAAAACTATAAAGAGAAAAAACAAACAAACAAAAATCCCCCCAGAAATTCCTCTTTACGCTGTCATTGATAGTTAAACTTTTCAACTACCACTTTTTCTCAAGAAAGCGTGTACCTTGGGTAACTTACCTAGTACCGATGTCATTCTGAGCTGCTAATCGGAAGGTGTAACCCAAAGCCGGACAAAGCTTAGTCAACTTGCAATGCTTCTGGCTTCCAAAGTAACATTCTCTGAAAACACTGTTCCTTTTTCCCTAGAAAGAGAGAAATCTGTAATCGGATAGCTATGAAACAAAACCACACAGTTCTTATTTTAAAAAGAGTTGTTAAATGATATTAGAATTAGATGCTTTCATACAGGCACTGTGCAAAGAAAGCTGTGTAAGCCACTGACAGCATTGCTATGCTACCTAAAATAATATAGATCAACACAGTCAGTCTGCTGTCAGATTCCTCCTCTTTTCAGATTCTTATCTTCATGAGATTTATCTACAGCTTCTGTCATCCTACTTGAAGTGCAATTTATCCTACTCATTAACCAAAAATCATGCAAGTTAAGGGTGAAATTAATCTCTGAACCGACCCGGTCACAGGAGCACAGGAAAGCTGCAACCAACATTTCTTGCAAGCACTATCCTCTGTGCCTCAAATCCCACGCAAGCCCTTCCTGGTCCTTCAGAAGCACTCTATCCCACAAGAGGGCTCTCGCTCCCCACGGTCCAGCCCACGGCCAACCCCAGCGACTGCTGCCCGAGAGGGACAAGCCCGGGTGCAACCCTCTGCTCAGCCCCATGCCCTCAAGGGCAAAACAGATTTACTCATCACGGAGGAGTATTTAACGCGCTAGGTTCTGTACCCATCCCACTGCTCAGAGCACACAGCACGTGATGAGCAAAGAGGATTTGTTGGAAAGCACGAAACTTTGTTAAGAAACTTGGATGCCAGAGGTATGGTTTATGGGAGCTTCACATCAACGTGACCTGGAGCAATGACGAGCCCTGACAAAGCCAAGATGGGGCAGCAGCGAGAGAGGGTACCGAGACATGTCTAGCTCCCAAGTCCTTCCTCAGGTACACTAAGTACAAACCAGCACAGCCGAGGACAGGGACATTCAGAAGTTCTCTCCCTCCCTGCCATGTTTAAAACAAAACAAAAACCTTTTCAATCCAACCTGACTTGGTATGCCCTATGGCAGAAACAAAGCTGAGATTTTTGCAGGACAGAGACCCCAAGACAACAAAGAGTAACTGGTCTCATCCTATGCCACACGTGGGAAATGGTCAATTTGAAATCTTTCAGGAGAAAGGGCACAGATTGCTCAACTCTACATAAATAGTATCTACCTGATCTGAAGCAGTTTAAAGGAGTTTTAATTTCAATACTTGAATGCAAAATTAATGGACAATTACATGACAAAGTACCCAAAAGCACACCAGAAGAGAAACCTAGCAAAGCACACCCAAGGGCTCAAACTGGTGCACAGGAGATAGTTATGCCCATCTCTGCAACTTCTGACTTAAGAGCTCTGCTATGCCATTTACTATTTTTTACACCTGTCTCTACAGTTTCTAATTATTATTTTATTTTGGTAAAATTAACATCTGCCCATAGACAAGACTACTTATTTCACCTGATATACACCCAGCTTGACAGAAGACTCAATGTTTCTACACCTAAGCAGACTATCAGGAAAATTATATATGTAGGTGTCCTTCACAGCAGCCAACAGCCTCACCTGCTCTGTCCTCCCACACGCTGTTCTTCCTCCACACTCAATACATCACTTCATCATTAACGATCTCAAAAATGTCCAAGCGGGACATACATTTTTCACTGGCCCATTATCCAGCCCCTATCGATTTCCACTTCTTTTCACTCGGATTGCAACACAGAAGGAAGAACTCCATAAAATATTTGTACTACGTCTCCAAAACATGATTATCAAGCTAGAAACAATCATGCAGACCTCCAGCACAGCACAACAATTTGGAGGCACTGAAGGGACATTTAGCACACTGGCAAACAGCCATAACTTTTATTTATACAGTGTGATCCTACACTTGTTCTAGAACTTGGTTTTATACACAATCTTCTTCAACTTCACCCACCTGCTCCAGCTGTAACATCACTGTATGGCTGAAGTAAATTAAGGGGTGGAATTGGAAGAGGATCATGAATCCTAAAGCAAAAGTCTTTTGTAAATGAGAAAACTTTTTTAGATCTAAAATCCCTAGATATAGAGTTATATAAAACTCCTTTTGGACAAAAATAATTGACACCATACTTCCCAGCTCAGCAATAACATATTTAAAATTCAGACTATACAAATCCTAATTATCAATCCTATGTTTTAGTAAAATATCCATTCATCAGTACAGGACTACTAAGAACAGATTTCCCCCCCCCCCGCAAACTCTCTTTTATAGGTTCAGATGCATTAAATTATTTTTTCCCTAACTCTTTAAAACCATCCTGACTTCAATATTTGTAAAGCATTTGAAAACATTTAATTTTTTTGTTTTCTGCTGAAGAATGTGTTTTTTTGATCGTTTTCCTACGTTTTTTCTCCAAGAGAACGAAGCGACCAAATGCTAAGCATGTGGTTGATAAACAGATGAACAGCGATGGCTGGCTAAAAAGGAATGGAAAACCCCACCTGCAGCACAATGCCTGAACTGAGAGCAACGGACCAAGGAAACTCCAATTTGTCAAACCGGTGGGTTAAAACTTTGCAAAGATTGCCAAACATTTACATTATCTTCAACTTTGTAACAGTACAAATTCTGATATTGTATATATTTTTCTTCTAGAACTGGTATTGTACATTCCCGACTTGCTCAGAGACCAACTGGTATTCAAATTACTCAAACTGGCTGGTATTTCGGATTCTGTTGGCACTAATTGGAGAGGCTGGCCGATATTTCTAATTATCCTGGCATTAATAGCTTGGAAATAGTCTCTCCGCTCCTTCCCTCCCAAGATTTATGAAAGCACTAATGCTGGCATAATTATAGACAGGAACAACTGGCAGGCTGGTACTGGCTGCCACCCAAGAGTCTTACAGCTTTCCCAGAATCCTTCTCCTATTCTTTGTACACTCGGCATCCGAGTTTTAATCCTTTAAATAATGTTTCGTAAGTTGCTTAAAATATACTGTATGATTTCCGTAAGTATTTCTAATCCACAAATTTCAGAGGGAGAGCAGACACTGTCTGACTTCTTCACTAGCCTGGGTTTCTCCAGCCTGCGTTCCCTATTCTTCATGAGGACAACCCATACTGTGATGATCATCAGGGCCTGCCTGAGGAAACAAGAACAATCGAGCTCCACAAATCCGTTAGAATTTGCACAATATTATAACACAGCATTTTAACATTAGCTCTTAATTGCTGTTATTTCAGCTATATTTCAGCTTATTTACCTGCTATTTCAGCTATATTTCAAGCTACACTTAAAACAGGGTGCTTAAGTTTCTCTTGGAGATTGTGTTTATTGAGACAAGGGTTTTGAGATTTTAAATGGGTTTTGTTGACCGCATTCCCTGCAGCAGACATAGTAAATAAACACAAAAGGAGGAATGGGCCAGTGCAGGTACAGTGGATACAGAAATGGAGCACAGTCCTTCACAAGATCTCACTGAAAAAGTCTGAATAAAAGCTGCCAGCATCAGATCTGCAACCGGGAGGCAAGATGGCTATCTGCTGCAGGCCATGCCAGCATTAGCTTCTGTGTTTCGTTCATATTGGCAATAAAAAGCAACAGACTGATATTCAATCTGACACAAAGCTGTGGAGCAAACTGTCAACAATTACTGTAACACACCCTAATATCCCTGCAAAGCATTTATTGTGCAAGCTCTTATACAAGTAACTGAATTTTCTACATAGACAAACATTTAGAAGACAGAACAGGACCTATGAAACACCCCTGAAATATACACAAAACCCAATTTTATCCAAGACTCTCCTCTTGCATGTCTCACAGGAACGGCATAGCCACAGAACAGACCGAGAAGACAGGCAGGTGAACAAACACAAGCCCAAGCATGAGTGTGGAGCTCTGTGTATCTGAATTCTGGTGGATCATCACTGAGATGCATGGCCCAGACTATCAAGCTAGTATAAATGAGCACATCTCACTAGCCTTGAGAAGTTTAAAACTTTGTGGCAGAACAAAATTATTTCCATTTATCTATATATAAACTTAATTATTAACTATCCATCACCAAATCGTTAAATAGTGTGGTATTGTATCTTTCTCTCTCAAGCAAATTAAAATGAGATGCTTACTGGATGAGAATTAAAGCTGCTTTTGAGTTACATACAAAAGAGCAACACACACTGCATAAAAGGGATGTCCTTGTCTCTGGCTCAGGAACAGCCCTCCACTTTCCCATAGAGAATAAGTAGGATACTCTATCCATATGCACAAGGGAAACATTTATTTACTACCACTTAATCACAGAATGATCATTTTACATCTAATTAGTAACAAAGGCCTGATTCTTTCATCAGTGCCAGCGGCATTCTTCAATGCAGTTACAGTTTACTGATTTTGATGAATGCTGGCATGAGGAGAAAGCATCACCTCCTTTACAGTGATGTTTTCTGTTTGGTACATTTTTAGCACTATTTTTTCCAATTAGCCTTTTGCTTACCCTGAATAATCAATCCTGGCACAAAGTCATCAACTGACTAGTTCAGGTTTGTAAGTTCAAAGGGTTCAGGTTTGTAAAGTTCACAGAAAAAGAGCCAGAAGGTGAAGTTTCCCTTAATTACTAATTTTAACTGATTTTACTGCCAGACTACTATTGCCAATCCCAGGCACCTGAGGTGCAGGCATGTTCAGATCCTACTGAATTTCAAAATACCTGAGAAGAGGGGCTGATCCTAACTCCTCTGAAGTCAATGGAAACTTTGCTAGTGTACATCCAATGTAACCGAGTGATAATTCACTGAACTGATCTTTTACTCTGCTGTTAAAGAATGGAGATCGTCCTCCATAGTTCTTCAGGCATTTTAAGCTAAAACAGTTTATTAGCAAGGCATTACAACTATAATTCAAAGATCCACGTCAGTACTGAGAAAGTATTTGTGTTTTCTAACTAACATGTAACACCAGTCACATGACAAACCATTTAATCCAAATTGGGAGGGGAAAAAGGTGGCATAGCAGGAATAGCTTTGCCTTTTGACTACTCTGTCTTCCAGAGTCTGCAGGTCAGGAAAAACCCCAAAGCTCAGAACTAAACTGAAGAAGTAGCAGCTGGGTAGGACTGGCACAGTGACATAGTAAGCAGTATAAGCTTCTTTTCATCAGAGTAGGTCAGAATACAACACACCTAATTCCAATGAAGAAACAAAAGCAACTCATTTGTGTTTCATCTATAGCTCATCTAATGAGGCGAGAGAAGGTTTTTAAAGTATATATGAGAAAAGACAGCTAAACCAGAGAATGGGAACAGTACTGCATCTATTCTCAGCAAGATACAGTAAAATTAAAAAAAAAAAAAACCAAAACCAAAACCAAACCCAACCTGCCTCAAACACCTTTCTCCAGTCCCTCGAGAGACCCTCCAGAGAAGCAGGGAACCTGCAGTAGGTATGTGGGGTGGCACGGGGCTTGTCGAGGAGCGCTGCACCCAGGGTCCCAGGCAGACACCCCCCCCTGCCCCCCCAGCTGGTATTGTAGCACCTCAGCCCCGCAGGACTCCCTGGCAGCAGCCAGGAAGAGATGAGATGCTGTCTTCTTGCTACAATTTACAACCTCACCTAATCCTAGGGCTGTAAAATGTGCCGCTTCTGCTGTCGTTTTACCGCAACAATTTATTTTTTGCATATACAAGTGATGCCACCTACACTTCTGGCTGCATTTTAGATGCTATAAATTATGCCTCTGCCCTGTAAAAACAGAACTAGTTGAGATACTGTTGAGCATCGGACACACTCCAAGATCTGAACTGCCACAGCGAGAGACAACCTGTTACCCTCCGTGCGGGAGCGCGAAGGGGCTGCTGGAGCTCCTCCCTTGGTGGGAGTGGGTAGCACAGCTCGAGCTGGGGGAACACGCCAGCGTGCCTGGGATACAGCCGGACGCGCTCTCCCGACCACCTCCACTACTCCCCATGTCTCCCGCACCTGATGCCAGTTTTGTTTCCGTAGTCTGAGGCTGCAGCCTTTCCGCGCCAGTTTTCCAGGATCTGCATGTCGCTTGTGTTGCGAGGGCTTTCCACGGCTCACTCGCACACTATCCTTCCCTAGGAAGGGACTCAACTCCTCAAGGCAGACTGCCATTTTAGGGTGTTTTTCTAATGTTATTATCGGATAGATTTCTTGTTCTCCACTCATGCAAAGCCCTCTCTGCTTTGCAGCCACAATTTAATTTCCTTCTGATCGCTGATTTTCCTGTGTTTATATTTTATTCTGTGCCCTGTAGCTAATGAATGTTGCTCTAGCTGAGATCTGGCAGAGCGTTCGCTGTTGCCTGGCAAGCGTTCTCCTCTTCCCTGACGTATTTATTTCTTGGTTTCACTGAGACACAGTGTGGCATTGTAATAAAGTTAGTGCTTTTGCTTACGTGGAGTTTACACAACCAAGTGCGAGGGTACAGGGCATTGCAAGTGAATTCTCTTTTGTACTTGGGTGCCGTAACTCTGGTAGCTAACGGCACCCTATGTCAGAGGCACAACTTGCAATGGCACATGAAAAAGTGAGTGCAACAGCTTGCCAAGCTCACCGTCGCAGGTAGATGAGGCTCCTGGAGATGCAGGCACAGCCAGCCTGCATCTTCAGACTTTTCCTTTAATAAGCCTTAATAGCAAGTTTTAATTCAGCAACTCAAAATTGCATTTCTGTCTCACATCAGAGGAAAAAATTTTTCAGAGAAGCTACACCTGTGGCATTAACGGTCTTACAACCAGACAACTACATTTCAGTCAGGAGTCTTGTCAAACCATTGGAGATGTACCAAATTAATTTGTGGAGGGCCATTATTCTTTCATCTTTGCTGGCTAACTATCCACTGGGATCTCAGATTTCAGGATTATTACTGAGAAAACAAGGTAATTAAAATAGATCGACTAAGAGAATCAGGATGCCTTCATTTTTCCCCATTGGTACATGAGCTAGCCTGAACCAAACTACTTTTGCCCTGTGAAAAACAGACATCATAACAATTCTTTCTGAAGACAAAACTCTAGGTATATACTCAGTATTAAAGGGTTTAGAGGACAAAAGCATTTTAGAATTGCCTTACGTATATCCAAAATTATGACTAGGCTCCATGTGGACAAAATTAACATCAAAAGTATTTGCACTGTATTAATGGTCTGTTGTTGGTCTTTCTTCTGACAAGACCTTCTATTGCTTCCCTTCCCTTTGCACGCTGGAAACATTCATGTTTCCACTGCTTCAGTGCTCGGTGCTGTTACGTTCCCATGGCTCCAAGTTATTTGAAGCCTTGCAAGAGTTCACAACTGCACAGTCAAGGTGTCACAGAAGGTGTAATGGGATCATCCTGGCCCACACTTTTTGAGAAATGTCTTTTTAATCTCCTTTCCCAGACCTCACACTCTGCTTTTTTCTTCTTCACTGACAACCTTTCCCCTTCCATTATGCGGAGAGGGACAGCAAGCCATTCTGAAATTATTGTTTAATTTTAATTCAGTCCAGTGGGTTTCTCATCATGTAGACCCCGCTTGCTGTGATACTGCATACAATAAATGTTTGCACAGTGAGTGGTTCCAAATGTCCAACATGTAGCAGAATGATCTGGGAACATTACTAGTGAAATGATGGAAATCTATTCGTAACAGAATATTACCTTTAGAATATTATTTTTAGACTACTAAAAACCTCAAGGGATGTTTCTCAGACTGTACAACTAAACACCCCTTCACACTCTTCATTTCCTGACTCATCACTTTCTCTTTCTTTACATGTTGCCCAAGCCTTTTCTGTCACCCAATACATATTTTTTCTTCAAAGATGATATTCACTGACTCGTGGTTTCTGCACAAATATGGCTTGCACAATGGAAAGGAGGCAGAAAGGAATTAGGAGATGGAGGGAGGACTTACAACCAGAGCCCACCTCCAGCAAATACCCCACATCTCTTGCTTTTGGCACTCTCCCCAACAGCATGCTGCTCACTAACGATGCAAGATATTTGGGACAGAGAACTTATTTCCTTTTGTGTCTGGAAGGGGACTAATTGCCACTACGTAAAGGACACCGTTATTTTGACCCTGAATACATTCTCTGTAGAAAGGGCTGCAAGATCATGGCTCTTCTCCTTTGAGGCAGGAACAGTGTTTTATTCTGTGCTCGGACAGCATCCAGAAGAAAGAGATCACGAACAGAACTCTAAGATACACCATCCCTGGAAGTATTTAAAAGGCGGGTAGATGAGGCGCTTAGGGACATGGTTTAGTGGGCATGGTGTTGTTGGGTTGATGGTTGGACTCGATGATCTTGGAGGTCTCTTCCAACCTTTAATGATTCTATGATTCTATGATTCTATGATTCTCCTTTGAGGCAGGAACAGTGTTTTATTCTGTGCTCAGACAGCATCCAGAAGAAAGAGATCACGAACAGAACTCTAAGATACATCACAAGTAATTAAATAATAAGTAATGCTAATTTACAAATGTACACCAAATGAGCAATAAAAAGTTAGATTTCATGAGTGCGGAAGCAGAACATTGTCTCTGCATAAAATACACTGAATGAAAAGTTTTCCCCCCACTGCCCCTTTTATCTTTCCGACTCTTCACCTAATGCCATCACGATTTTATTTTCCTGCTTCTACTTTCTCCTGTATTTAGTTATTTTTCTTTACTTAGCAAATCCTTGTAAACTCTGAGTGCCATTTATTTATGTATTTATTTCAACTAGTTACTACTTACCTCATCCCACTCCAGAAGGTAGCTGGTGATTTTTGAACCATTATCAATGGGTGCCTATGAACAAAAATAAACAAAAGGTGATGTGGGGAGTAAGAGAAAACTACTTCCCTCCCAGGCAAATGACTACAGTTTAAAGTGAAACTGAAGCTTGGGGCTTGCACACAGCTTGGCAATCTCTTAACGAATACCAAGAAGAAGCTGGACGTAATGAAACGCATACATTTTAACAAGCCAAGTCAGTGCACGGGGAGGGATTTGTCAGAGTACAGCAAGTTCAAGTCCCTTACTGAAAAATGACTGTCTCAGCTTTCAATTATTTTCAACGGTTATGCTCACTGTCGGTAAACTGTATTTTTCACTGCCTTCTTGCCCGATCCAAGCATTACCTACCTTCCATTGTAAGGTTAAGGAGCTTTTGGTCCTGTGTGAGGGTTTGGGTGGGAAGGGACACTCTGGTGCTGAGCTGTGAGTGGTGAAGCTGACTGGCTCTGAGCAGGATCCCTTTACTGAGTTGTACATTGCATATACCCTGGAAACAATATTCAAATGGGTTATAAATTCGCTGACAGCTACAAGATGAGACAGCACTGCCCCGGCCACAATATTTGACTACCAAAGCATCCATGATACTGTCCACTAATGATAGATTTCTCACAGACCAGTGGCTATCATTACTCTACTTCACTTCGTACAAGTATGCAAAAAAAAAAAAAAAAAAAATCACAGCAGAAGAGGAACATGACAGTGTTTTGTGCAAATAGTCCCATAGACCACTGAGTTACCATCATAATCTTTTCTTTCCACCACTGTTTCCTTGCCTATTTCCAGACTTTCACACACTGTGCTAAAATCCTCTTCACAATACAACAGAAAGTATAAACTCATGAGAAAAAGGTATAGACTTTAAAGCCTGGTTTACACTTGATTCATATGTACCATGTTGAGTGGTAGAAACTGCTGGTCTCCTTCCATGGGTACAAGCTTCTCCTACATAGCTCAGGTGTCAACACTTAGTGGACCTCCATGAATTAGAACTAACACAGCTCAGAAACATTACTCTGATAAACTAAAAATCTTCAAAGCAAATTTGATTTCAGGCAAATCCTCTATATATCAGCACAGAGGGGGATACACAATACCAAATAATGTGGGAAAGCGAATACAATATAGTTGAGCACTTCCTCACTATGTACTTTTCTCTGAAAAATTAATGATGGGTTTTTTTTCCCTTCACATTTTCCACACAGCAAAAGAAAAGTGCAAATTGGAAGTCTTCTACTCGAAAAAAAGTTGAAACCATGACCAGACGATGACCTCTGAGCTGGCTGTAGCTATTGTGTACTTGAATGCAGAGTTTAAGAAAGGGCATTTTCTAAATTTGTTTTCAGTAGATAAGAGTAATTTATGTACAATGGCCACCTATGTAGAATCAAACCTTTTGGGGGAGGTTCACAAGAACTGCTATAGTGCTGCTTTACCCATCACCTGTTAGCAGTCAGGAGTGAAAACAAATGCAATTAATTAATCGAGCCTGCATCTGGCAAGTGGTACGTACGTGTGCCGGAAATCAGCATAGCTAAGCATCAAACACACCATCAAGGAATACAACCATGCAGAAATGAGCTTAATGAGCATCCTTTGCAAGTCGTTGAAACACTGAGCACAGTCATCTCTGAAGGTACCAAACTAATACCACTTGAAGAAACACAGGAGATAGATTCAGAGCGAACCAGGTTCTCCTGGCTGCTCAGGGCCCAGCAGGGCAGGACCGAGCACAAGCTGCTTGTCTGTGTGGAGATGAAGCCCTGAGAGATGCTGCCAAGGTTAAGGAGACCCAAGGCAATCTGCTGAGTAACTGTTGGCCCCGTACATTTCTTTACTTAACAGATTTATTTCTTCACAGTCGTTAACACATAACACAGTTTCAGTGAAGAAAAAAATTGTTGTGGAAGCTAACAGTCGGCCTTTTCAGTGTCGGTGCCCTCCATTACAAACACATGCTGCTGCATTTTAAGTCTGACTTTTATGTTTAGCAGTTACTTCTTTTTAAACAAAACTTATTGCTAACTGTTCACAAATGATTTATAATTTGGCAAACCTGCAGGAAGGCGGAGGGAACCGTAGGTAGGCAGAGCGAAGTCAGCCAGGACACGGGGCAAATACCCCCAACGCCCCTAAAAAAGGCATGAGACCTCAACACCATGCTTCACATGGCAACCATTCTGCTGTTTGAAGCTGGCTTTAAAAATTATGCTTAACTGCTTACAGTAGGAAGCTCAGCAGTGTTTTACAACCTTCTCCTCCTTGCTACCATCCATTTGCTGCTAGGGCTGGGACTACTGCCCAGCCTGGGAGCCAGGGTCTCTTACTTATTTACAAGAAGTTACTTCTGGTCTTGTGCTTCTACTTGAAAAGTTCATTTTAGGGCTCCACTAGAAAATATCTTTTAAAAAAAAAAAAGCTACAGAACCGGAGAAAACCAAGACACATTTTGGTGTTGGGTCTTTTTTAGAGCTCAGAAGCAAAGTGTTTGTTCTTTAAAGTTTTACAAACAGTAGCAGCCTTGATGGGAAAAAGCACGCCAAACCTAGCCCTTGTCTGGAAAAACAGAAGGAAACAATAGACAGGAGTGAAAGGAATTTTTTTAAAAAGGATATTGAGCATAAGTGAACAGGATGTGAATTTGAAGCCTTGGTTCATAAGCAAAGTCTTTTAAAAAAATCCAACATGAGCAGATAACAACACAGACGGTGTTAAAAACATCAGGGAGCAAAACTGAGAATGTGTTAATAGTTAATAAATGTGTAATACACATTTATAGCATCAAAGAGAAATATGCTCTAAAAATATCAAGACAGGTCAGTGTGCATCCATCTTTTTTTAATAAATGCTGAAATTACTATGGTCAGATGGATCAGCAGATTTACTTCATGAAGCAAGGAGTATTTAGGAAGAAACTGTGCTGGAGTACTTTCAGTGCTAGCACACCTACGTTACAATAATTGGACAAACGCCAGTTGCTTTAGACAAATTTTGAAGATGCTTTAGGTATCCCACTTTGATACACAAGCACTTCCAGGCCTGTTATACATATAGACAGAAATATAGGTAACGTAGATGTCTTTTTTCCTCTTACTATAGCAATGACAACAACATGACAGAAAATGTATTGTTCAAAAAGCACTCTTGTAACTTAAAGTCCAAGATAAAAATCTACCAGAAAATATTTAGAAGCCACTGAAAAAACACCTACAGAGGTGATCATGAAATTCTTGACCTACACTGTATAGTTAGATAAAAAACTTTCACTTTTATTCTAATATAATTGAAGAGTTTATATTTAAGTGACATTCATAGTCACACTAACTCACCTGACGTGGTAATCTGTTGCTGGCCTAAGGTCTTTCAGGTTATATTCTAATTCTTCTCCACTGCAGGAAAAAAGCCCCAAACCAACAAATCAATAAATTATGAAAAGCAGTATCACACTTAGCACAGTTAGCGATTTTCCAGTGACTAGCAACTCCCTCATATTATGATTAGAAAGAAGAAAAAAAAAATCCCACCACAGAAAAACAGCAGTAAACAATATACGAACAATTTATTGGCACACTTCACGTTTCTTGAAAACTTTATAAAGCTCCATATACATAGCAGAAAAGTAGTTATCATCCCAATTTATACAGTAAACTAGCTATATGGGTTTATTTCAATGCTATCCTTACATTTTGTTGATATTTGCATAAAGCTCATTGTGTTTTTCAACCCTCCCAGAGCTGAAAAGAGTAGAATCGATACATTACTTTTGTACTTTCTGCACATTCATTATTTCAAAATATTTTATAAAAAGTGAAAGTCATTGAACTTCAGAGGAAAAAGTATAGTTTCTTGCACAACCATTTCACTTATTTGCTTTCTCTTCCAGAACCACACTCTCTATGAGGACCATGGCAAGGAGACATTTAATTAATGCCCTAACAGCTGGACCGAGATCTCTTTCAATACCAAGAAAAGTAAAAGCACAGTTTCAGACATTTTAGGAGAAAAACAGCATATAATCTATTAATTTCAAATGTAGCCAACATAGTTAGGGCTATTCTTTTTCCTTATGTCTTGTTTGCTCGTAAATGAACACTAGGTTCAGTCATGTGTTGCCAATTCTGTGAAGATTAAGGTAAGGGTCAGTGTTTAATAAGTAATAGCTATCTCATGTAAGTGCTTGGCTTATTCATGATTTTATTAAAATATGGGAAACAAGACAATTCTCTGTTTAGCATAAAGAAATATTTCATAGATAGTTGGACGAATACAGGGAGATATCTCAAAATCAAGAGAACACAACCAACCAGAAAGCACATGCCTGCTGGACTGCCAGAAATCCATCAAAAATCCTTCTTTTTTTCATATAGTCCAATGCTCTGCAAATTCACTTTTTTCCCTCTGAAATGAGTGCACCTCCTTGCAAAGACAAGGTATTCAACATATTGCAGACTTTCTTTTGCCTATAGTAATAATGATTACTGCTGCTCGTGACAGAGCTTACCACATTAAGCTAATGGCTGTACTCTGGCCAGCAGCAGGAGACAGATTACTACTAGCAGCTTTAAAACAGATGCACAACATTGCATAACCAGGAGAAAATGTGCAGCCATCACACCAGCAAGCACAAGAAGTACCAGAAAGTCTCCTTCCCATTTTAAGAGCTCAGCAGCCCACAATAACCTACAGAGATGCTCACGCTGGCAGTGTGAGCTAGTACACTACAGCTAGTGTAAATACCAGGAAAAAAAAAAAAAAATCAGGCAGCATTTCCCTGGTTAATATGCTCTTTTTATATTATCCAAGACTGTTCACGCAGACCTGCCTTTAGCATACCAGGAGGAATACCCTAATTCACAGGACATTTTAAGAAAGGAGATAGTTTGGTCTTGAGAGGTAATTCCATAAATGCTGTAGCACCTGGACTCTATTTAATGAGATTTGGGAAGGATTATCTATTTCACAACAGTCGAGGTCACATCTCAAAATTTTCTATCCTCGACATCATTAGTGGGAAAAAGAAAGGCATAACACCGTATGTACATGATCACAGAATGAGCTCAGAGGATCACTGGAAAGACAGACAGAGAAATCCCTCAGAATTTTTACTGAAGACTACTGAGAGCCACGTCTTCAGGTTTTTCTGGGGAGCCTGTATAGCCTACTGATCGGTGTGCTCCCTCCTCTGCTCATCTAAGACACTACAAAGCAGTAAAGCCCTCAACTTTTGCTCGTTAGCTCAAAAAGCAAGCTTTACTGTTCTTAATTCTGCACATCCACACAAATTTAGCCCATTAGGAAGGCAGCTATCCTGCCTGCATGGTATACATGAAAGGTTTTGACATTTACTATAAGAGAAAAAGTAACCTTTTCATTGGCAATGGGAGAGACAGCATCGTATGCAAGATCTGTCATGTGCCAGGGAGGTGGGAGGGGAAGGCAATTAGGGACCTTGTGACATGAACTCAACCAGTTCCCTGCAAGCTCCTCCAGCAAGTGCGGCTGATGGGACAGTGAGGGAGCAATTAGAGGGTGTCCAAATGAGCTTTCTTCTGCGACTGACGGGCATGCCAAAATACACCCTGAAAAGCTCAGAGAATTCATTCTGAACGAAAACACAACTTGAGAGCAACACAAGTGTAAAAATGATGCTGTTACCTGTAAATTATCTTGTATTTTCCATCCCTCCCTTTATCTGATAAGGCAACCTCGTAGGTACAGGTGTAAGGCAAACCATTGTTGTGTCTATCTGCACTTAGAAGGCCAGTGGGAGGTGACCAGGAAAGTAAAACTGTTCTTGCTTGAATATTTGTAACCTGTAGAAGAAACATCAGTTACTCTGAATTCCAAGAAAAACACTATCCTCTAAGTATTTGCTTTTTGCTTGCATCTTCACAATCAATTTCTTGCAAAAAGGCAGTTTCAGAGCTAGAGGAGAAAAGTAAAGGGTCAGAAATGGTCATCAACAACACAAACAAAAACAGAGGTTAATGGCATAAACTAATCTCTAACAGATGAGGAATACAGAGAGATGTCACCCTGCAGTGAGCTGGCTCGTCATTGTCTGAGCATCCAGCAAAGGATGACTCGCACCATTCTGGAGGTACCTGCTGCCGTGGCCATTACCAGAAGGGAAGGGGAACTAAGTGGAACAAAGACTTTATCCTACAGATTTTTTGTATGCAATTATTTTTCTAAAGCTTTTTGTTAGGGAGATTCTCTAATAAAACTCTGATGGTTTTTTCAGTCACCCTGTTCCTTCTTGTAATTTGAAACAGCAATAATTCAACTGCAAATACGTAAAGAAAACCCCAATTCAATCTGCAAGGTTACGCTGACTCAAAAGTATAAGGGAGAATCATAACAGAAGTCCAACCCATCAATTAGAAGTTACATCACAGATCAATCACTTTGTGTCCTGAGAGAAAGACTACGTGTATTATCTATAGTCACCCCTGGGCGCAGCTCTATAGCAACACCTCAATGGCAGATGGGTGAGAATTCTCGTTTAATAAAACATGGAAAAAATACCTCAAACCCCTGCACCAAAACAACTTTATCACCCTACCAGTGCAGCTGTAGTCTTCTGGAAACGCAGGTCCAAATACCTCTACACTGACCAAGCTTAAAGAACTAGCATCGCCTTTCTCACCAGGAGAGCCCACTGGCACAGCGCCACAGGCATCGTTCATCAGCTGCACATACCAAACAGCAGCTTCCCAGAGAACAGCCTTCTGTTATCAAGCCAAGAAAGAAGAAAATAAAAAATCCCTCCCCGCCACCGTCTCAAAAGAAGAAGAAATAAAAAACAATGGTTGCATTGGCTACCTTGGAAAGACAGCATGACATTTTTACGCATGCCTTCTGACAAATGCCCAGGGAAGCCTCAAAGCCGCCATAGCCTCAAGCTCTCTGCCACAAACTCTCCACTTTTCGTAATGAAAATGACTATGTTTTTCTTTCTTAATTGTAGTGAAAACGTAAAGAATATATTTTTTTTAGCTAGCCTCCATGAGGAGGAATCAAAGCATGAGGTTTTATATTCTTTATTCATTTCTCCTACATATCAAATTTCACTGGTTCTATCATTTTAACAGTTTTTTCCAACACACAGAGCAAAACGTTGTTATTTTAGAAGGTGTAAGATGAATGATGCAGGTGCTTAGTTACACGTCCTATGCTTTTCTTGAGACAACTAAAACACCTTACCCATAAATGATTTGGTAGTGAAATATTAGCAATCAGCTTGTAAACTGCTTCTTTACAAATCTGGCTTCTGGATATCTTTATATAATGGAGAATATTTAACTTCTCACATGAAAACACATTGCTTCCACCTGAAGAGCACTGCAACTGTTGTATGTGACACCCATATATCAAGCAGATTCTTTCTGAGCAAGTCGTAAATCTGTTTTTAACAGACAGACAAGTAGGCAACACCACGAAACGTCTCATCTTAACTTAAACACTGTGCTCCCAAAAGTTAAAGACTTTAATTTATAGCAGCACACTTAAGTCTTGCAAAAAAGAAAACCTCTGTTCAACCTAACGTGAAAAACAAGCTGTAAGGCAAGAAGTTTTAAGTAGTATCAAGCTTTTTTTTGTAAAAAATATGAACATGCAAATTCTTGTATGACTTTTCATGGGATTTCTTGCTCTAGTCACATTTTTCTGATGCTATGAAATCAATGTTTGCTTCAAAAACTTGGATGAGTGAAAACTGATACTGGATTAGATAGCTTATAAGAATCTTGAACGATTCAAATAAAACAGATAAGCTAAACTTTTGAGAGATATATATACACACAGAGGTATGTGAATGAAATTGTGACAGATATTTAAAGCTAAAAGTCTGTATTTTAAATAATATTTTGATCAGAAAACTGGATAGTAAGATCCAAATAGACTTTTTTTTTAACATACATTACTACTATGCCAGCTCAACCCATCAACACGCAGTTTCTTTTATTATGGAAATATGCTTGCATAATTGTTTTTCATAAATTCAGACAGACTTGGAGCTGGAGGCATGATATCCTGCCAATGTTCTATTGAAATGTTTTTCTCTGTGACTACTCATAAGGACACACGTATATATTCCACGTACGGCAAAATCTCTGGCCTTTCATGAACTTTAGCAAGCTGTAAAAAGTCAGGTCTTTTATAGTTTCTTAAAATAAGAGAAAGTATCTTACGGACTAACCGCTAGAAACTGTTAAGACTATTATTCTGAAGTCAGCGTGCAGGCATTTCCATGCAGAGGATAAAAGTCCAAACCCAGTTGCTAAGCTGCTCTAGCTACACCATTAACTTCTTACTGATACAGCGTTCAGAGTGGCTGCTGGCCTGCCTTGGTGGTGTTATGTACACAGTAACTGCTGGTGGAAGTTTAAAAACAAACACCAGAAATCGTTAAATACAATTCTTAGCTGCACTGAGTACACACAGCAAGTAAAGCAAGTGAGGGGTCACTGTCTGCATGATAAAGTCAGAAAAGGCAAATCTATACACTCCCTGGGTATAGAAATCGGAACAGTACTGTGCACGTCAGCGCGAGCGCTGGGAACGGATTGATTTGCATGGCTAGAGATAAACCTATCTGCTGCTTACCGACCAACAGGCTCGATACCGTATCACGTTTACCAGCCAAAGGCGTATCTCTTCAATATCTGATTTAGTGGCCAAAGCCACCACTTAACTCCGCCAAGGAACTCCCACCTGGAGCAGGAAGCACTAGCTTTGCTGTGAAAAAGGGTGAGTTAAATAAATGGGGTTATGATATGCCGAGAATAACAAGCAGGCACTCGCAAACCAGCTCAGTAGCTTTAACCCCAACTTTTCTTGCTTACACCTGGGAAAACAAGCACCTTTCAGTAGACAGTGAGCAGCTAAACAGATCCGGACCAGCCTTTTTCAGTGCTGTAAGGAACAGGACAGCTAATATTGTGATGGTGGGCCTAATGCCACTACTGAACTCGCAGACAAAAATACTTAGCTGTAAGTAAAAAACAGTTTATTGTTCATTAATGCTGCCCTAATTTCATCCGATCAAAACATAAGCAGCCAGAGCACTTCTTCACAGGCTGGACAGGTAAACCTCTGTGCTGCTTTCTAGTTACCCCAGACTGTCTCATCTGTCCCCAAAATTGCTGTGCTCGCTTTGAACAGGACTGGCTTGGCCTTTTAGCTGAGACCTAACAAAAGATTGTCCCACAAGGAGTTTTGTATGTCTGGCGAAAAGCACAGTTAATTAGTTTCTGAAAACTTCTCAGTTTACACAGTAAATGCCTGCTTTCTATGCTATCAAAACTTGGTGGTGTAAATAATTATTTTATAAAAGCCCCTGGGAAAGAATCCCAACTCCTGCACTACTTTAATAAGGTTACAAGACTGATGAATATCGGTCCTTCCCGTCTTTCAGGTAATGAACAATGTTTCTGTACAACTTTCATTATCTTTCAAATTCCGGGTTAGCATTCACAGGCATCGTGTGGTTCAGGGTTTTATTGTATGTGTGAGAACTACACTGCAAGCAACATTCATTTACTCCCTCGAGGGCAACGTTTGAAAGACTTGGGGGTCAAATGAATTCATGGTTATTACCAGGTCAAGATTTTGCTTTTAAACTATGGCTCTAATCCTGCAATTTTAGGCAAAAATCCCAACGATTAAATACGAGTTTTGCTGCAGAGCAAGTCAGCGGGAGCAGGCTGCCTTTTGGAAAGTCAAACTAACGTTTGAGCTCCGACTCCATGGTCCTGCAGTGTTTCCCTGTTGGTCCTGCTCGCCGCGGGAGGTGATGTCCCCCCAAGCTGCTCAGCAGCCATGCCGTCGGCTGCAGCAATGCTGTCCCAGCCACTTCTGTAACCCAGAATCAAGTTTCCCTTCCCTCACCAAGGTATTTGCTTTGGAGAATGCTTACTTTGTCTGCAATAATGTGAATTAAAAATATATTTCAGTTTAAATAAAAACATGGGGAGGGGGGGGGGGGGGGGGAAGCAAAAGGCTTCTTTTAAAATTTGTGCTGTCAAAGGGATAAACCTACGATTAAATTTACAGTTTGGTTGCACGTCTCTCAAACAGGTAACAACAGCTACTATTGAAAACAGACTTTTTATAATTAATCATTTTAAAAGTGTATATATTTCGTACTTGGAAAGGTGAAAGAGACTTTGTCACATAGAAGTACCCGGACAAGCTAGATTAAAGACGGCTCCAAGCAATACCATAGCTGCGGAGTCTCCCGCAGGAGTTGCTCGGAGTGCTAATCCCTTCAGATGGTGCTCGCCTGGACACATCAAAGCCATGTGCTGCAGACATACCATCACTCAGCTTTCCACTGACTTACTGCTCTGTGCCCTTTTGTTTTAATTATGTCACTTCTTTCTTCACAATCGTTTTTCTATATATTGTTTTATTTTTCATTCATATATGCATAAGGCTCACCAAGAAATACAGCCCAGCTGATTATTTATGCATAGTATGATGTATTTCTATCAGATATAATACTGACTACACATACACATAATCATTCATAGCAATTAATGGTTTGGAAGACTCCTATGAGTTTAATTACTCACAGATGTCAAAGGTACAGAGAGAAGAACAGATAATCCCCAGCATCTTCTCACTAAATGTAACTAGTACTGAACTAGCATTTACAATGTTTTAGATTTTATTTTATTTTTTTAAAGATTCCTATTTTTGAAATTATTCAAGGAAAATTATTTTTGTCCATTGGTAGTTTTTTGCTCCCCTCTGCTTTAAGTGCTCTGGTTACCATAAATCTAATTGTACAGAGCTCAGAATCCTGCCAACTGCCCAAATAGCTTCTCTCCTTACCTCTATAGATATAAGTATGAAATAATACATTTTTCACGTCAGCTCTCTGGATCTTTGTAAAAGGCATCTAGCTGTGGCATTCTACCAGATGAGCAACGTTCAGGTAGTCCTTGATACAAACATATTAACTCACTCTGTACAATAAACTAGCCTAATTTTGCGATAATTGCACTTTCTTCCCTTCTGATCTCCCAGAAACTCTTCTCTCAGGTCTTCAGCTTAGTATTGTCACTTGTCTCTATATGAAATAAAGCAACTTTCCTTCCTGCAAACAGAAACTCAGGCTGCAGCCCCCTGGTATTTATCATCTCTGCAGGTCTGGTTTAGATTCTGGCTGGCTTTGAACCTGCTCTTGTATATGCCATGACAGTAGGATCCAACACCTACTGACTGAGCAATTTAAGACCAAACAGCTTTTGTATTTATTCAGAACAAAAGCATCTAAGAGAACAGCTCCTAAAAATAAAACTCAGCCTGTGCTCACGCCTGCCTCTCCCTGAGCTCTGCCACTTCTGCATCTAAGGAACAGCCACCATTCCATGCTCTCACTGCAGGACTTCTTTATATCAGCCTCTATCAGCTACTATTGAACCCAGTCTTCAGATGAGCTTTCCAACTGTTAGGGGTTTTTTATTTGCTTATTTGTTTACTAGCTTTCCAGCTGGACAGAGAAAGGCCTGAGCCCTGACAGAGCAAAGGAGGTAAAAATCCCAAAGCACTGACGTCTCCCTCTGCCTTGGGACTGTTTCTTCAAGTGCTTGTTCAGAGCGTTCATTTAGATCCATGATACCCTTTCTGATTTTCATTTGACACACCAAACTAGAAAAACATCACATTCAAAGGACTTACAACCAGATTTATTAATAACCTTACCTGACTGCGGTCACACCCAGCACGGTGATTCAATTTCCATTACAATTCACATGCTTTTATGGATCAGAGAAACTTAGACTACAGAAATTGCCATTGAATAATAGAATTAGCTTAATTTAATCATGATTACAGACATAAATTGCTCATGACAAATAAAATTAAACCCAGGGGAGAGGGGGTAGGAGCTATGTAAATCACCCCAGTGTGCTGAGTTCCCCATCACACTATGAATACCGGGAGCTGTCCTCTGGAAACAGGCGACAGGTGCGACTCCTGCAGTGGGCAGAGCCCACAAATACCCATGAGCACGAAACATGCTTCAAATTTATATCTCGGCAAAATGAGTTAGATATATATAGCAGCAACAATCTACTAAGGAAAAAATTCAGAGGTGCTCCTCTGTGAAATCACCAGTATGTTGTGACACAATCTACTTATCACATTTGCTATTTTGTGGGGCGGGGGGGTGGTGGTGGTGGTGTGTAATTTGGGATCACATACCTGTGGTTTCTCCATTCCAGAAAGAATGTCTTGAACCCTTTTTGTTTCTGAATCAAATTCTGCAAAACAGAGAATGTGGAAATAGGAAGAAAAATAAATAACCAAAATTAAACAAAAATGTCAGCTATGTCAATAATTCTTCAGGAATTTGTAAATAGGAGAGAGAGATGGATTACCTGTACATGAGCATCAGCTGTTTTGCTCTTCTGAATTTAAGGTATGCAGTTACATGGATTAATATGAAAAAATTATAAAAAAGAAAAAGAAGGGAAAGAAACTTCCAGTAATTACAGATATTCAGAAAGGTGGGATTATTTGTAGAGGTGTCCTCCACAGACAAAGCTATTAATTGGGATTTGCTTTCACAGAGCAAACCCATCCTATTTCCAAAGCTTAGCTGTGGAAGAAGCCCAGGAGTTTCTACAGCTCAATTACTGCTGAACTTAATCCTGGTTTGTTAACCCAACACATCCTTACTCCATCAGCTGTAGAGCTGGGCTATCTGTGGGCTCACCAGAGCACCGGGCTACCGGAGAGGATGAGCATCCTTGCCCCATGCGGGGAAAGCCCAGATGAGCTGCGCAGGGTGCCTGCCCTGAGTCCCACACCCACCCTACCGGCTACCTGTCCTTAAATGCTGTTATCAGGTAATGCTCAAAGCTCTTCAGCCACCTTTCAACTACGGAGGTAATAAAGTCATGCCAGGCTAATTCGGATGCCTGACTAGCAGTAATCCATCCTCCCTCCCTGAGCCTTGCGCCTGGTACAGACGCTCTTGCAGGGGCTACACAGCATTATCACAGGGCAGGGTATGAAATATTGCCCCTAAATTAGATGGATTAATTGAGCACAGAAGGTGCTGTAGAGGTGATCATCTGAGCAGTGGAATCAGCCTTTCCCCCATCCTCCCCCACAAAAAAGTCTTGAGGTAAAACATCAGCTTAGAGTAATGAGGTGACACAAAGCAGCTTTATTCCTTTTGGACCGCAGCACAGAGAGGCCTCACTTTCCACTACAGTATTCTCTAATGGAAAACTAGGAACATATTTTTTCTGGGTTTTTTTTTGTTTTTTCCTTTTTTTAAAATGTTAATGTAAAAAGTGTGCTAGCCAAAGCAGAAGAATACATCACACCTATAGCAAAATGAGCAGGATCTCTTTATAAAAAGCATACAAATTTGGCATAGGAAGCAAAAAATATTAATAAAGTAAAACTGGTAAGATCAGATCAACAGCTTTTGCAAACAATTCCCCCAAAGCCTGACCTAGTTCTTGTAGCCCAAGAATGTGTCTTTATTTTTGTCTGTGACCTGCTTTAAAAAAAGTACATCTTCTTTTTAAAAATTCCATGTGCTCGGCTGCCAAGAAAACAGAATTGGATGAATGCTGATGGCAGAACTCCAGTGTAAATGCCCATCTCTCCCTACAAGAATGCACCTTGGTGTGGAGTGGGAATGACAGATCTCCTGCTCCATGCATTCCTGGATTCCTTTTAGTCTCAGCCACTTGGAAAAGAAAGGAGTAGCAGTAACACAGGAGAAGAGGAAGACAGCATTATTGTTTTTTTCCATAGTAGATAACACTTAGAGTGTATTATAAAGTGTATGACCTGGCAGGATTTAGCCAGCATAAGATAATACCGACTTGAAAACTACACAGATGGACTAAAATGGCTAAGGAAAAGGTTGAGATGCTGATCCAAGTGAAAATGTCATCAAAGTTTGGGGTCTTTCAGAATTCAGGGTTCCCTTCAGCATGAGTACAGAAGTAGGACTGTGCCACAAAAGCCTGGATCCAGATCTGGAAACTGCGGAGGTCTTGGAGGCTTATCTTGAAGGGATGCTAATCAGAAGCAGCTTCTGCAGCTACAGAGTATAACAAAAATGCTGCTACTATTTTATTGAAAGTTTATGGTTATTATGTCACCCCTAATTACAACCCCCAAAAGCTAAGCGTGAATCATTCTCAACCTTAAATCCCAAACATGTGGACTGAATTTTCTTTCCTCTCTCTGCTTTCTAGCAAGGATGCTATCTGTGTCACACTAAGCAGTAGAGGAAAATAAACCCTGAAGCCCAAAGAAATCTCACTTCCCTCTCCCGTGAAAAACGATCGCTTTGTACAGTAACTGAGCCCTCTGACCCTTGCAGGTCAGGGCTGAAGGTTCAAACTGCTCCAAATACAGGAACTGACTTTAAGACCTAAGGGAGTGGGGTATACCCAGCAAATAAATAATAAAAAACCCCAAGTACTTCAATCAGACTTCTCAATGAAGAGTCCTCCCAAGGAAATCTTTTGTATTAGCTCCCCAAGTATGTAGCTTGTTCACAAGAAGGCTCTGAGTACCAGATACACTGAAGCTTTGAGTTATTAAGGACATACAGATATTTATGTGGACAATGTGGATATTTATGTCTCCAAGAGTTTATACAGATAAGCTGGAGGTGGAAAAAGAGAAGTCTTCTTCAAAGATTTTGGGGAGGGGGAGAGAGGGAATGGGACACACACAGACCTAAGGTGATAATACGAGTGCAAAAAATTAAGAATTTAATTTAAAGTGGATGAATAATACATATATGGATGGGCGCTGCATCACATTTTCTAAAGAATAAGATGTGCAAGATGATGCATATATGCTGACCAACTATGTCAGATATCCCCTATGCTGAACCTCCTGAGTGTTCACACAGGAGACTGGGCAGGTACAAGCGAACACTTGCACACACGGCACACACCCCAACCACTTCCCATGTATAGAGCTGATGTATCCCATGTCACTGATTTGCTAATGCCATGAATCATTTTACAGGAACAACAGCAAAGAAAGAAAAGTCTATAGTAAGAAGCACCCTTTTATCACAAGCTTTGAAATCACTGTACCGTGTGGAAAGGACAGCGTGTGCCTTAGAGCCCTGCACTGAATTCAAACAAAAAAAACCTCACGAATAACAGGCAATGCCCTGTGAAAACAGAGCAAATGTAAAATTAAAGACAGAAAGCAATAAATATGCATAAGTGACATCTATCATGACATCAGAGAATAGCTCAGGTTGGAAGGGGACCTCAGAAGAGGTCATCAAGCCCAACCTCTGTCTGAAAGCTAGAAAAAAAACAGTGCAAAACTGCCCCATGGAAAAACTTGTTAATGAAACTGAAGCCAAGCTTTTTGGGAGAGAGAAAGTAGCTCACATTATTGCCATCTTCTTATAGTATTCCAAATACTTAGTTTCACATTTCAAGAACCATAAAAAATTCTCAGGCTTCAGTTGATCTCCTTTCAGTAATAAACACAATTATTCACAGTCTCCTGAGCTAGACTAAGCTAAGGAGAATGAGACCTGTCATGAATCCCTCCCTCAGTAGGAAGTTGGTCTTACCTGCCAACCTCTCTCATAACACATTAAGTGTCAAGCTCAACATCTTTCTCCCAAGCCAACAAAGAGCTGAAATCCTTCTGAAATAGAAAGTGACAGAGAGGAAAAAAAACCATCTTATATGCTCCACGCTGATAATACAGAATTGGTGAAAAGCCTTTTTTCCTAGCTCACTATTATTGTTACTCATCAGCCGCTGAGGACTCTTCTACTAGATTAGCTCACTGAAGCATTTAGGGACAAGGAGCATGAGTGTCTCCCAGACATCACAGAAGCAGTGGTGGACAGGTGGGGAAGAACAGAAGGAAGAAAAGGGGAAGCCTTGATGTAAAACAGGAGACTAAAATTCAGAAAAATTACCTACAACTGCTCAGGAAAGGTGGTGGGTGGCTGGGCATGATTCACCTACTTAGCACTAACTGTCCTTGAATAACTGACAGCTGATTTGCTTTTAAATCTTTGTCCCTTCCTCTCTTTCTCAGCTAACTGAGCACCGAGTGTCTGATATGAACAAATAAAGCTCTGTATGTCAACCCCCCCGACATTACACGGGGGCTTGCAGAGACAGGCAGCGGACACGCGCTGCTTTCCTCCTTTGCCATCGGGAACAGAAGTTCAGTCACGTCAAGGAAGAGCCCAACTAACACTTCAGGTCATTGTCCCGTTATAACATTTCCTCTCAACATCTGTTCCCCACATCTGCCATGGCAAAATTCTTCCTCCTAGGAGGAAGCTGGGGGTGGGGATGAATTCCTTGTGAACACTCAATGGGGTCCTCTGAGGGACAGTATAAAAAAATCTGAGTTATCCTGTCGATCTCAGCATCTCATAGATGTTATAGCTGTCCCAAGCTACAGCATTAGGTTCCCATTCCCAGTCTGTGGGTTATTTGGATCCAATGTTTCAGACTAACCTTTCGTAGCAGAGAAGCCAGCTGTAAGACCTGGACCACATCTAAGTTTGTATTTTGGTATCACTATTTTCTTCAGAGATTTGGGTCATAACCAAAACTCCACAGATACAACCAAGAGTAAATGCCCCTAAAAAATTAAAATACTTTCCCAGCAGCTGTTTGGTGCTAACAGGGTTTCAATGTTAAGTCTTGCTGAACTAAAGCCTTTTATTATATGCTTCTGTTAGCCTGTATCTATGTTCCTTTCTGCACGTACAGTACAAATATAATTTTCAGACCTTTCCAACCCTACTTTTGAACACAAAGCACAGCTTTAAAAAAACAGGAAAAAAAATACTTGTCATTTCAAGGTAAGTTTGAAGTTTCCATGAATAGTTTTCATGTTTGCATGAACAGCAGCTGTGTATGTAAATGGTTTGAAATAGCTAAAAGCTCTAAACTAATTAAGATTTTCCCATTGCAAATACAGATTTTAGGTTTGTTCTGCATTCTTTCCTTTGCAGAGAGGAAAAGGCCCAGCTCAAGACTTAGCTTCTGGCCACAGAAAGTATTTACTGTTTCAACAGCCTTTCCATTCCAAAGGAATGACATCAGCACTAGCACTTCTCAAACTTTTAGTCTAATTCTCAAGCAGAGCTCCATGCTTGCAGATATGCCAGTCATAACATGACATGCTTTCTCAGAATTTGTTCCAGATTTATTGGGGCTGTGACCGGCTTTAATGCTAGGAAAGATCTTTTGTCAGTCACGTACAGCACAACCTACAATCCGCA